ACGACGAATAACCTCGGACGAAGAGTCGTTGCTGAGGCCTCAGGCTGCCAAGATATCCTTGTTTCGGAGCCGTCAGAAGCTCTCGGGCACGGCTCGCTAGCCAACAACTGCCGTAATGCAGACAATCATGTAGGCATCAATCAATCAATCGATCATCGATCAATGTCCAGGATCAACCAAGAGGGCCAGCGGAGCCCTCTTTGCGGCGAAATGATCATGAGGACTTGCCATTCCAGGGAAAATTTCCCTCGGTTCGATATCCCCAAGGTGACGAACCGGACTTGATGAGGGAAACAGGTTTGGATGTCGTTTTCCGAGTGAAGATTTTTCCTAACTATCCCGATTATTCTTGTCTGCCAGCTTGGCGATATCGGACCAGAGGACTTGATTGCTCGAATAAGGGGTCCCCAGAGTCATTTTGCCGCAAAAAGAACTTCGCGAGCTCTCTTGGTTCGGATCTCAGGAACAAGACCGAATGAGGAATTCATATTGTCCCACCCCTGTAGACAAGAGCCACAGGCCCGGATTTTATCCCTATCCGGGAGTCCATCCCGGAGCGGGGTTGGAAACTCTCGACTATTTTCCGTTACATCTCGATACATCCAGTTTTCCTCAAGAGCCGACACGGAAGTCGGATCATAAGCCAATCAGAAGTGAGACCGACATCGAGTCAAGTCAATGACATGTTTGCTCCTGAGGAAAACACATGCCATGATGGTGCAACGAGGTTTGTCTCGACTTCCTTTGCACGAAAAAGCTTTCGAGATCACCGGTCGGAGTAGCTCGTGTAGTTTACGAGGATGGAGGGTTCCTCTATCGAGGACGACCCTTTCTTCAGAGCATCCGTAAATCATCACCGCTACTCTAGTCGTTGAGTGACATCGGTCGTTCACTGGGAATGCTGCCGCAGATGGCTTTCTTGAGATCGAGAAGGATCGATTCGATGTGAACGGGAACTCCGCCAAAAATCGCCCCCGAGAGCATTGAGGGTGAAGCCGTGGCTCAACGGTCACTGAGCGACATCATGCTCGCGATAAGAGCTGTGGTCGTTGTCAAGCGTCAAATGAGCCTGGTAAATCTTTCTTGTCTAAGACAGCCGCCCCAGTTGCGTCCCTAGTCCTCAACATTCGGATGAGAGAGGAAATCAAAATTCAGAGCGATCAAGAATTGACAGCTGACGAGCTTGGACCCAAGACAAAACACAATACGGAACCCACCAGTCTTGCGTCTCCCGCCCTAGTCCCTGAAGGTCTCAGATAAGCTCGGGGGCTCAATTGAAGTCATAAAAAGGCCCCGTCTTACAATTGGAGATTCCGTAGCTCACAAGGGTATGGAAAAATCGTAGACGCGTCTGGTTTCTCTTCTGTGATTCGTTTTGTCCTTGGGCTTCCTCACATGAAAAGGGGCTTTGCGAGAGGAAGATGGCATCTCTACGGAAGTTTCTGTGAGGGTTCCTCTTGGAGCCGCCTCGATTCTCCTGGGAGGGCATTCGTGGCAGAGAGAGAGGATTTTTTCCCTCGCTGCTGAGGTCGTTTCGGGTGCCGACCTCGAATCACCCGCGTGCATCTGTGTTCCTTTGACATTGCTCTCAGGAGACATCAAAACGAGGTCCTCTACGAAGCTCGGAGATCTTGGGATATACCTCACTCGGATGATCATCAAGAGGTCACTAAGGAGGAAATCTCTCGCGCTGACTGTCGCATCGCCTCGTTCGGGCGACTTTTGAGTTTCTGCTCCAAATTCCGAGGTGCAACGCTCACCTCGATCTTGATTTGCGGAATAATATCGATCCAATAATGCGGGAGCTCGCCTCTGTTAGTCGAGGAGTCCGCAGCCTTCCCCAACGGATGAGAATGAGAGCCATTCCTGGCTCCCAGTACCTTCGAATAGACGTCCGATAAAGTGCGGAGAGGCCGGGGGACAGAAGGACGAAGCGATTCTCGGCGAAACTCGTCAAGACAACGTTGAGCTTGGCATCGAATGGAAACACAGTGCATGGCACCTAGAGGGGAGGGGCTCTGACAGGAGTCCCATATTCAATTCATGTCTTTCGATGGGATTTGGAAAATCTTGCGACTTCGGACCAGCGAGGACAGACACGGATGACGCGGAATCGAGTCATCAACTCTACGGTGGAGGGTCATTCGAATTTGCGAAAAATCCGAGACATCACTAGAGCTCTCACTAGGGAGAATCCACTCATCAAGAAACAGCATGACTTGTTCGGGCCGTCTCGAGTCTCGAGGACATCTCCCAACCCGTCTGGCCTTTAGGTATTTAGAAGAGTTCGCGCGCGAGATTCTGGGGTTCGCGAATTCTTCAGTTTCTCAGGAAGATTCGAGCTCAACAAGTTTCTGAATCCTAATGGTCATTAATCGACAAATCCCGTTGGCAACCTTTGTGTGTGCGTCTCGCCGAGCTGAAGTCCTTCTGAAGCTTGACCGCTCCCCACGCGCTGTCCAGAAGCCGAAGTTCGATTCCCGACGGATTTTCCTTGACGGAAGGGATTCTCGAAAGTCGAGCTCTTGTTCAGGATCGAGGAAAGTTACAAGATTTTAATGACGCTTCGGGACAAGCCGACGAAGCACCGCGGCGTGAAAGCCCCTCCTATCGATTGGAGGGAAACGAAACGATTGCCTCTGCCGTACGGCTCTGTCGCGATCACCGAGCGTGGGTAGGTAACGAAGGGCTCAGCCAGAATGTCATCATCAAAAGACAAAGTTCCTGATAACAGGGACCGTCAGCCGTAGCGGACCTGAGTTGTTGACGCGACTGGCGGCTATTCAGTGAGCTGCAGACACGTATGCATCTTCTATTACGCCATCTCTCTTATTCATTCAGTGGGTCCAAGTAGCGAGCATGCATGGATGCGAGGAGGCACGGCCTCCTTCGGTCATTAGGAGAGGATTATTCAAGCCGCTGTCTGCGCTAAGAGCTCGGACAATGTAATCTTCGCTTGTATCAGTCGCTGTCCAATGCTCGGATGTCTGATTCAGGCCTCAAGGACGGAAGTGTCGTTCTGACTTCACGTGTGCGTCATAGAGACGGATGATCGACGAATCGCGTCTTCTCGCATCCACCAGACGAGAATGCGACCATTGCGCCCCGAATAAGCTCCGACATCGTTTCGGGTTGGATTTGTTCTCGGAGGAATAATCCCGGGAAAATTCAGCTCACTGAGCTCAGAACAAAGATCCCGTCCCGTTGACGGATGTGCGCCACATATGAATGCCCTCGCCCGTCCGGATATAAGTCACTTCCCGCGCGTCCTTTCGCAAATGTCCCTGCTGCTTCGGACTTTCCTCGACTGAGAATTGTACATCTCTTCCTCCGTGTCGACTTTAGGCCCGACTGCGGAGGGAGGAAATTTCCTCCGTATGGAGATCAAGGAATCGTAGGTCGACGAGTAGCCTGACATCTCAAGTTTTCGCATAGATTTCACGTTTCGCTTTATCAGCCTTTCGCTCTGGGTTCTCTTCTCAAGAGTGCGTCTCGGAGGCTCATAATTCCATCGTCGACGACTCGCTACGTGCCCCCCCCGCGAGTGTGAAAGTACTTCAAAGAACTCGCCACAAACGTGCTCGAGCGCTCTTGAAAACACGTCCGGCTCGTGGAGTGCCAGACGCCACCTGACGAAAGGAATGACTGCGGACCATCCTATTGAGGAGGACCTCGCTCTTTTCGATCCGCGAATCCAGGTACTCCAGACCGACTCTCCATCCTTCTGGAGAGCGTCTTTGTCGTTCGATTCGACACGCTTCCCCTCATTACGGCCAAGCCTGCCTCGTCTAGCAAGACAGTCACCGCACGGTTCTCCAGCGTTTGTCGGAAGAGGTTCCCCCTAGAAAGTTGATGTGAGCCGGTCGATCTCTTCCCGGGATGCATTGATTCGCGTCCTGCCGCAGGAGAAGCCTGAAACAGGCCTCGATAGCGTGGGCTTAGAGCCGGAGGAACTGACGAGTAGTCCGCAGTTTTTCCCGAAACTTTTAGCGAGGCGTGCCAAGGCTTAGGAAGCCGTCTCTCGTCTTCATCGGGGCAACGAGATAGATAATTGAATGCTCGAAGGTTCGATGAACCTGTGCGTGGCTGGGGGAACCGCGAACATCAGGCCCAACTGTGAATCTCTGATTCACTGCTGCAGGTGCTTATCTCGATATCGTCGCGAGCCTGCTCCTCATCTTCAGGGTGGGTGCGGGTGTATTCTTGCGAACAAGCCTTGGAATATTCTCTTGGTATGTTGGATTAGCCCATTTGTCTTTCTCGTTGAGTTCCTAGCGAGTAGCTCAACTGATCCGCTAGTTCTGATCCGATTCATCAAGAGGTGATCGGTTTCTCCAGTGGAGCTTTTCCCACAAGTCGACGGAGAGCGATCCGGGTACGGAATGGATAGTTCCACATACTGTCGGATAGGAACTTCCGATGAGGTTCCAACAGACCAGAGTTGGCCACAGCCAATGCTCTGCCGGACAGTCTCGATGAGGGCTATGGCGGCAGATATATCTTCGGAGATTTTCCGTCGATGACACGCTTGCTCGATCGCGAAACCGAATGCTGGGCCTTCGCGGCTGAATAGCTTCTCGGACAAGAGCCAGAGCAAGCTCAGAACATGCAGGCAATCTCATGCGTCATATGCAGCTGGTGCCTCGCTTCATGCTATATCCATTCCGGTGGGGTAATCGAGCGCTTAACGCGTCTCGCGAGGGGAGGGGCATTTCACTCCCTGACGCTCGACCCCGGTCAGCACCCGACCACTTGCATTTACGCTCTGGACCGGTCCTTGGAAGGAATACTTCCATGGGCAAAACCAGGAAAAAGACACTTTAGCGATGTGGTCCGGCTCAGGCGAATTCCCGTCCCCATCAGAGAAGATGCGTCTCTCTAGCCCATTGAGTTTTCGATATACATTTTTAGCAAAGCAACGATCAGTGGAGCTTTCGGTGGAGTCCTTGACTCTTGGTCCTAGTCCAAAATTATAAAGCGATTTCGATACTTGAGGCAGGATGGTGATGGACGCCGTGAGACGCGTTTGGTTTTCGGAGTTCTCGATCCAGTCCAATTACCACGTCTGAATATTTACTATCCCGTACGATTCCAGGCAAATTCATCGGACCCATTGGTGCAAATTCAGGGCCCGTCGAGACTCAGTATACCGTGGACTACGGGGATCATCGTAGCGGCCTACGGGTCGATTTTTGTCTTAGGGCTCATTGGAAATTCCCTCGTGATCCTGACGCTGACGCGAAACAAACGCATGAAGGTTCGTATATTGGAGGTGATTCGCTTATTAGAGGCTTTGCATGAGCGGCTCGTCAGTCGTCGGTAGCTTTTAGCTCGACTATCGACGCGCGATGCTATCATTCACTTAATGGCGGATACGGAGCTCAGCTGACACGCGAAGAGCGCGGATACGATACGATATTCAATCGTCGGATTCCGTCAGGTCAATGATGACGATTCGACCAAGTCTCGGTGTGCAGCAATGAGATGGCTCGCTCGAACAAGGAGTCATCTGCATCTCACCATCTGATTTTTCCTTCAAGGTCGCCACTAATGTGTTCCTCTTGAACTTAGCCGTCAGTGATCTTCTTCTTGGAGTGTTCTGTATGCCTTTCACCTTGAGCGGGGCTCTGCTTCGAAATTTTATCTTCGGAGAGTTGATGTGCAAACTCATCCCCTTCCTGCAAGGTGAGTCCCATGAAGGTCCTTCGACGCGACGCTCCGGCTGCCGCCAGTCCGAGATTGTCCCGATGCCGAGCTTGAGACGAACTATCCTTTGATGGAGGACGCCTGCAAGGAGCGCGAGCAAAACAGATGATCCGCGCCGGGAATGTTTTCCCGAAGTTCCTCATAGGGGACTGAGAAGGCGAGCTGTGAGAGATGGAGTCTCTTTTGCTGATTCGGTCAAAAAGTTGTGAAACTCACGGTAGGGCTCACCGAGGCGTGGAGCGAGACCAGGCTCGAAACCTTCGACAACTTTTGTGTCTACTCACATTGCACCATGAAGCAGCTTTCATTGGAATCGCACAGGAACGGGGCAGAAGATATTTTATTCGTCATTCGTCAAAGATCCACGAGCTCACGGAATTCGTCGGGGATCCTCGATCTTCATTTACGCCAGGAATCGTTCAGTGTCTTCCTTCATCTCCGAGAGGGAGGGGGGGTATCGAAAAACGAGAGATCTGATTATGCGAGCTCATGTACATACATATTACAAAATGGAAGCTCCTTATGAGAGAACCGGATATAGATGGTCACTCGCTCACAAGGAACCGATCGCCCCGGCCGTGGGCATGCCGAATGAATCGCTCATACTGAAGGAATTGGCTATTGCGAGCCCCGCGACGGACTTTCGGATATCACAGACTGATATCTCGGTCCCGGGCTTATCTCCTCCCGTGCGAATCAGGTCGCTTACAACGAACCCATTCTCCCAGGTCAGGAATTCGGAGGCGAAAGCCTGTTGAACGATTTCCAAAGTTCCCCGAACGAATGCGCGTCGTGACTCGCGACAGAAGCTACAGCGATGTTTCCGTCGATTGTCTTGTTCCGATCCGTCTCAGGTCGCATGTTTGGATTTGGATACAAGAGAGTGCGGTTTGCGATCATCGAGTCCCTTGTGACGACGTTCTTTCCGGTATATTCGTCTACGGAGATCTCAGTCTGTATGTTGTATCAAGACGGGGCACGATACAACGTACGTAGATATCCAGGGAGCTCGGACGTGTCTCCCGTTTTGACTCGGAGAGGAAACTCCGCGATGTCGGATGACGGCCTACAGCTTGTATCCTACGGAGAAACTCTCTTCTATTCGAAAGCAGCGGATTAGAATCGAGAACGCCACCCTATGTGCTGGACGAAGCTCGCTCCGCCATTTCCTCGATGGATTTGTTCGATTGAGCACGAGTCCAATATCCCGCATTCGAATAGGAGTTCTGATTTCGCTCACCCAATGATTCGAATCCCGGGGCACGCTGCCACCCCTCCCGATGAGCAACTGGTGGAGTCCTAACATCTTGAGCCTCGTTCCGGTGAATCTCAATTCAAAATTCAAAACGCGATCAGTCTCGAAAGAGAGCCTGTGCCTGGGGAAGTTCAGGGGAGTTACTGAGTGAGGATGACTCTGTTCCCTCGAAAATACGATTAGACGTCCCTTGACAAAGTCACACTGCAGCGAGGTCGAAACACAATCGTTTTCAAGGAGCCGCTCGGGTGGACGGTGCTCTCCGCAACAGCAGCGACTCGAAATTCCCAAGGACTTTACGGGGAGGAACGATCGGGACACGATTGTCATCGGGAGGCGGCAAGAGTAGCGGAAACATCAAGGCCTCGGTTTTCCTTGTGGCACGCTGCTCACCGCCGTGGTTCTTGTGATCAATCCTGTTCTCACCCGCTAGGTTGGTTTCCATCGGTAGCCGACCCATTTTTATACTTTTCTCCTTGCGGGAGATCAGTACGCAGTTCCCGTCGTGGCCCGAACAAAGAACAAATTCACCACCGGTTGAAGAGAAAGAGAAGTGTGTCACGATGAGGGAATCGAGTTCCGGACCAAGAATTGCGTCTGAGAATCATCGCGGAACCGAGAAACTTGGCGAAAGAGTTTCCGAGCGTCGCTCGAGGGGAGAGGAGTTTTTCGAGTTCCTTGACGCATCGACAAGACCACGCCATCTGACTGCGCAGTCGGGGGATCCTTCTGCCGTTCCTGTTCAGCGAAAAAAGTTCATGGAACAGCGGAGAAAAATCAAGGTCTTGATTCTTTGCAGGAGTCACTGTTGCCGTAAGCGTGTGGACGTTGGTGGTTATTTCAGTAGAGCGGTACTTGGCCGTCTGCAGTCCTCTGTCGCAACACGGGAGCTCGTTTGCGTCGCGGCATGCGTTGCTAATAACATTGATAATCTGGATTGTTGCTCTCGCAACGATGTCACCAACTTTCCTGCTTAGTGAACTGAGACCGGTCGGGGAAACCGGAAGGCAGAAGTGCCGTGAGGTGAGTGAAATTCGCCCCGCAGAAACTTCTCGTGCAGAGCGGCGCCGGCGGTAAACAGAGTCCGCATTAGGACCTTCGCCGCAGGTGTCCCCCCAAGATGTGCTTGTGTTAGCTGGCGTTTTGCGTGATTCCTAATTCATGAGTCCGAGGAAGCCAGGTGTGCTTCTCGCCGGCTCTGAAAATCGCCAAGACATTGTGTGTACGTAGCGGGTTGTTATTGAAACAACTGAAGCAGAAACACTCCGATCCACAACCACTCGAGAGTACAGGCGTTTCCTGCGTAACGAGCAAGAGCACATTGCAGATGTGGACGGATAAATACAAGGAGTATGCATTCAACATCGGATTGGACCTTATGTTATTTGCATTGCCGATGATTGCGATGAGTTTCGCCTATGGAAACATCTGTTGGATGCTCAAGAGAGGACTGACTGAAGAGAAGCCCATCCACATGAGTAGGTGGTGTATGAAGCGAATTCTCCAGGTGAACCCGCACGACTATTCCCGAAAACACCGATTCCGGGAACGACTTCTCTCCCGTTTTCAGATCACATGTCGGAAATCGTGATCGCTGGCACCAGTGGATGTGCTGTGCTCAGCGATAAAACCAGTCAGGAAGTTATTGACCGGGAGCCGCGTCTCATAGTGAAGTGGAGCCGAGTAGAAGAAAACTCGGAGCCTCTGGCAACGACGGAGTTAACCAATCAGAAATGGCAAGTTCCCAAACCCCGAATGTAGAACAACAGCGTGGGAGAGTATTCCAGAGAGAGTTCGAGGCCTCGAATCGATGAAAGGGAACACGACTCGGGGAAAATGGAGATTTATAGCGACAGACGTACAAGCTACACGAATCCGGCCCCCGAGAGCCCCTCTCACGGTTCAGATTCTGATTTTCCCCTCTCGAGACTCTCTCACGTATTTTCCCGCCGGCGGGTATGGGGTCACATTGGAACGGTTGCGACTGGGTCGTCGATCGACGAGCGGTAGCGAAAATCAAAAACAGACGCACGTCGCGTCGGAATCGTGTTGTCCCGAATCGGGGCGAGTCTCGAGTCTCGAGAAAGCCATCCGATGAAATATGTGCTTCACCGAATCAGCGCATTGCCGAGATTTTTCAAGCCGTACACCGGGTCTACGTAGAGAATCATTTCCCATAACAACGTTGCATCCATGAGAAGCAACAGCGTCGGGTGATAATTTCCGGGGAATGCTACTGCAGGGGCTTATACCGCCCCGAATATTGCATAACACGTTTTCGATCTAGGCCCACAACGGCTCTAAACGGCAGCGAGGTCAGCTCGTCAGCCAAAGAGATGATCCGATTTATGCGGACCAACACCTACGAGCATCGGATGGCAGTTCGCAACCGAGTCATCCGTATGATGTTTGTTGTGGTAAGTGGCATGAAAGAATCGCTCCTACCTCGAGCTTTACCCCACTGTCGAAGCTTACAAGCGACCACAACGATTTTCCCTCGCCACAGGTAATTGAGTTTTTCATTTGTTGGACACCGATTTACGTTATCAATACGGTCAACTCGATATCGCCAGCACACCTGTCGCCCTTAGGCAGCCGGGGTGTATCGCTCTTCCATCTCCTAGCGTACTGCTCATCTTGTTGCAATCCAATTACGTATTGCTTCATGAACCGCAACTTCAGAAGGTAACATCATCTTTAAGGTATTACTTTGTTTCCGAGTTCCTGGCGAACTCCGATTAGAGATTCCATCCATCCGAAGAGCACGTTCCAGCTCCTTAGGAAAAAATCGCTTTTCGTATCTTGTCCTCGATCGAGGGAGATTCTGCTGCTTCGCAAGCGATGTCACCCGGCTTCCATCGATGGTTTGAATGTCAGATAACAGCGCGCAGCTTCTCTCGAGGTTTCCCCTTCGATTTCGACGTCATTTCCTAACCATCGCATGGCACCGATGAAATAGTGATTCGTGAAACGCATGATTCATGTCACGGTAAGGGACCCTCTGGGTGCGTCCTCATGTAATGAAACATCATGATTATGAGGATTGACCTGAGAGAAAGCTGAACGAAAACAATAGATGCGAATAGTCGAAGTGAGCAGTCTCAAAGTAGGATCCGTTCAATGCTTGTATGATATGGCGATTGTACAGCGAATGACGTCGGCACTCTCGAAATTTTCCTTGCAAGTTGTTCGCTGGGAGATTCGCCGGGAGGAAGCTTCATGTAGGAGTCAGAGAGCGTGGGAGGCGGAAAACAAGCTAGCCAAAGCTCGCGGAGCAAATGATCATTGGATTCCGAGCTAGCGAGTAGAATTATGAACGTGGAATATCGATATTCAATGTATCAGCCCATCAGCTTGAATGCTCGAGTAATGCTCGAGCATGCGTGGTCGTGGGAGAGTATCAATATCGTGATATCGATGTCTCAGCCTCAGCTGGTTCTTAGCCCGATCTCATTCCGATGTCGTTCGGAAATCGATGGTCACGGAGTGTTCGAGGAAGGGTTTGACGAGCCTGAGGAACCTCTTCGGATATCTTGCCGAATTCGAAAAGTCAACGACGAGCCTGATATGGCGTGAGGCGAGGGGGCTGAGTGTCGGTTCTAGTGCTCCTATGTATCTCCTTGAGATTGACGCAGACTCACGACGTCACGGAGTTACGTTAAGGTGCACCTCTGAGAAGAAAGATTTTGGCGCTTGGTTATCGCATCAGACTTGTGGAGTCGTTTAGGGTGGACAGGACACGAAAGTTTGTGGCTCGAATCTCGTCCGTCTGGAATCTGTCACGTATCCTTGTCGGTCCAAAGCCGCACAAGACGAGAGTCTTGGGACTATGCGACGAGCACGGCACTCGTGTCGATCCAAGAATCCAGCTCTCCAACGATGGATACCGCCGCGAGGAATGTGACAATGAAGGATTTCCAGATATTGTTATTGAGCGAAAGTTCGAAATGCGAGGTAAGAGGACAAGTCCAGTAAATGGAGTGAGAAGTCCGATCCTCTCAGGATACAAAATTGGAATACTGGAGTCCTCTCTTCTCGAAAGGACACAGGAACGACGCCGACAGGGAGACGCTTCGTGCTCGTTCTCCGGAGTTCTGTCCTCGCAGCATCTATCTCCCCTCGTTCTGGTCCTGCTTAACTGTGAAAGAATTGAATTCGAGTTCGCCCTTCCTGGGAATTTCTCCGAGAATCTCCATACGCTCAAGTGTCTCGTTAATCCGATCGTCGTCCGTGTCGACACCTCGCTGCTGACTATTCAGAGGGCTTCCTCTCGGACACTGAATAGGGAATTCCTCCCAGCATGTTGTGAAGTTTCCAAAACTTCACAAGAGCTGAGCTCGGCGCCATCATTGTCGAAGCTGATTGTGCAGCTTAGCTGGACGCACGGTTTTTCACTATATATAGACCGTAACCGGAGAACTGCTGAACGGAGAGTCGTTCAGCGAATAATTAAATTTCTCTGAATTTTCAGAGAGTTCCGGCGGGCTGTGCGATGCAACGTGAGCCATCATTGGACACGGCGACGAGTTTGTTTGAAAGAAATGCGTTCATCCGCGGGATCTCAGGGATTGATTCGGTAATGAGTATAATTCGCGATCCGCGAGGCGCCGAAAAGAGCAACTCCTATATGGATCATGAATATATATACGCAGAAGTATCCCGTCATGTTGTTGAGGGACTCAGTCTCGTCGGATCTCGGCAGGCGCATCCGATTGTAAGATTCGTGTGTAAACACCTCATGTTTGTATTTGAGAAACCGATCTCCTGTAAATAAAGATTTATTCACGCTGAAAATCACTCTGCATTCACAGGGCTCCGGAGACCTCCGCTCAGGGTTCCCGCGTCGTTTTATGTAAAAACATAGCCTAGCCTTGAGTCTCCCTGATCCGCTGCTCGGGGAGCTTTAGCGATCCATCGGGGGTAGGCATGTCAAAGAACCGCTTATTTAGACTTCTCTGAGAACCGTGCCGGGAGAGCCGCGGTTAAAAACCGCAAAGAACCGCGATTCCGCTACCAATCGATTTCCATTGATTCTCTGCAAATTTTCGACGCTCTTGCCCCCTCAGAGGAGATGTCGGTGCGTGAATGAATAGCAAAATGTACCGCTCCTAGGATGAAGTCTCTTTCAATGAATTTTATGATGATTCAAGCCACACTACTCGGCTCGAACTTGATCCCTTCCGCACTTCTCACAAGCCTTCGTATTCGTATGCTTTCCGCAGCATGAATATGCTGTCCAGCGTGCTCGGTTTCAGCCTCGCGCGGTTCTCTCTTAAGAGCAGGCGAACAATACTGAAATCGCGCTCCGGCTGGACCGAGGTTGGCGGGACAGCCGATAAAATCTTGTGGCACGAAAAGAGGAGATAGAGGAGTGAGAGGCCTCAACCCCGTCCACGGAGCAATCGAGTCGCAGTACTTATCTAATCCGAAAGGAAGAGATGCTATGGGATGGAGACGATGATCGTCTTTATTCACGATTTCCATCCTTGAAACGCACAAACTCAGAACTTGCAATTGTTCGCAACATCTACATTCCGCATGAAATTCTTGAATCTCACACTCAAGCAGGGAACCACTGGCGGCCTCCACGACCCACAACAAACAAAGGCAGCTGCCAAACACCTTCCCCCGCTCTCGCCAGCGTATTTCTTCGCACTTCGGGTGCACGTAGCCTCGCTCTGCGCGCCGCGAAGGATCCCCGGCTGATACGTCGAGGACGATCGATATATCTATAGGTCTGCGTACCAATAGTTACGAAAATGTCGCTCTCGATTCGGTTCATCAGCTTCTGCCCGAAGCGGTTCTTGCGGCTCTAGAGTTGCAGAAAATCTGCGGTTCTCGCGGTTCCAGAACCGCGGCTCTAGAACCGCTGACATCCCTAATCGGGGGATTTTATTTGGGATTTGGGGAATGGGGACCGCCGATGAGACATTTCATCCTCTGAGCCCAATAATCCGGAAGTTCTCAACCTCATTCTCCCTGAACGAGACACGGGATATCCATCGCGGACTCTGTGGGGAAGGGGGAGGAAAGGGCCAAACATCGCCGTGTTTGATGGAAAAAAATGCGTCCCCCTCCCGCATCACGCAAATATTCGCTTAGTACTGAATCGCGCGTTCGATGTTCGCCGATCACTTCGAGGCTGTCTCAACTTTCGTATTCCTCTGGACGTGTGCAGGGCGTGACGCGTGACAAGATGTTGCACGCTCTGTTATTGTTCTTCCTTTTCGTCAAAGGGTGCTCTTCGGCTGCGGGGTGCGTATCATTTGAAGGGAGGATGATCTTGATAGATGGCCCCCGGAGCTCCTCAGTTTCCCGTCAGGCTGTCTCGGAGCCCAAATTCATAGTGTCCGTCTCCCGCTTTCCAGGGACTTGAATCCTGCGCAGAGCGACGGTTCGTATCCTCAGATCGCGAATAATAACAAGCGTTCAACACCAGATAGACCTAGATCGCGGCTGATACAGTCATTAGTTGATGGATGTTTGTGTCCGGCGGCTTGGAGGATCAGAAGCTTGTCATCGCTAATTCGAAACTCTGTGGAAAGTTCTTATATGCACAGAACAAGCTGGCACTCGGATGGGATGACGCTGTCTCATGAAGAGGGGTTGCTGATCATTATTTGATGAAGTCCGCCACAGGCCGAACGGCTCGTAAAGTATCGCCTGTCAGACACCGAGCGTTCCCCACAAGCAAGCAAGCAAGCGAGTGGAATAATTCTATGGTTTCTTCTCTGCGTGCTTCCTCATCGAAAGTAGAGCATCTCTCGGGAGCCGAATGCTGGATACGTAGGAGGTGGTTCTCGATGCCCACCAGTCGGAGCGTGACGCAAGCAGCGAACGAATTGAGAAACCCTCGAATATCCGACTGAATGAGACGTCGCACGTACGCAGAATCCGAGACGGATATGGGTCGCTTCCGCATCTTTAGCTAAGATTTTCCAGGTCAAACTCGTATTGATATCATCGTAACAATCATGGGACTTGGTGAATTGGATATGTTCAAACAGGTGAGTCCCTTACACTTTCACTTCGAGAGTTGTCCGGAGAGCAATCGACTCCTAGTCCGATACCGTAGGTCTTCGATACCGCTGGATCGATTCGTCAAACTTGTCCCGGGTCCCCGATATTCCGACCAGCCCATTGGCGTTCTTCTGCAGTTCGGAATCCCGATGTTCCGCTCCCGAGACGGTGCCACTGGTCGGTTTAGAAATCCACAGTGTTTTTTCCGACTGAGGAATTCATCCCACTCGTTTTGTCGAACTCCGGTCATTTTCGAACTCTCTGGTTGGACGGTGAGACAGGGTCGAACGACTCGAGTGGAAACGCTTGGAGGGACACACAAATTACTCGAACAACGGTGGCGTTCTGAGTACCGTGTACTCCGGACCCTCCACGGAGACGGGCTCGACGGCTTCTGCATGACTTCTGCAGGCTAGAGCTATCGAGAGGCTCGGACCTCATTCCGAGAACAGCGCCTCCTCGCTTTCTCGGCGCGTCTATTGAAACGCGGCGGGCCGCGGGTAACTCATGAGAGAAGCCCCGCGACCGCGATTGAGTTCAGTGGTCCACGCGATCGATGTCCTTTCCGATGGAAAATATCGTCGACCGCATGGAAAATCGAGCAGGGAGTCTCCCCCTCCTCGACGAGAGCATTGATCTTGCCACTGACTGCAGTAGACATCTGCCAATAGACAGATGGGGCTTTGATGGAGATTTCACTGATGAGACTTTAACGGGATCACGAAGACAAGGCTCCTGCAGAGCGACTATTCGAGACAATGTATCGGAAAGTGCTCCGAAATGCCTCTGAGAGCTCGGTGCCGCTCGGATGGCTCCCGAATCGCGAAGAGGAGCGCGACTCCTTAACAAACGACAAGTTTGTTCAGCGAATCAGCGCTTCGATGAAGGTGCTCGCTCAGCCTCGGCTCTGCAATTTATACACTCTGCACTGCATCGAGTGATTCACCCCGTACATCGAGACACACAGCATCCGACTACCTCATTGGAACAATCGATTCGAGCTCTCTGCGAGTGTCGTTTCGAGATTCATCGACAATGGTACCGAATCAAAATGACGTTCAAGATGGCGCAAAGCTCGCGGACCACCACTTCGTACGCACGGCCCACCAGCGGAGCCCACTCCTCGCTCGATTGACCAGTCAGCGTTCGGCACGAGGATGCTTCATCCTGAATTGAGGCGATAGCGCGAGGTTGCATCCTTGCGTGCAATCGTCAGGATAATCAATCGATCCGAGCTTCCGAACTCGCTATCGCTCCCTTCGGCTTCGGGGAGCGCGTGAGGCCATGCCCTCCACGTGGGAATAATAAATTAACTTTCGCGAGGTGAGTGACTGATTTGCTTCGCCATCGACTGCTCGCCGCGATAAGCAACAGGTCGTGAAGTCAATAAGATGTTCCCTCCTATGCGTGTGCACGCTATCTGAACTCCGAGGTGACGTCCAGTAAGTCTGTTGAGCATCACTTACAGCCACCCGATGGCCACGTTCATTGATTTGAAGAATTCTGCTGATTCTCACGGAGCTGTTTCCACTCCGGAATTTCGACTCTCAGGCCTGGTGATTTGAGTGAAGTCTCCCGCCGATTGAATTCAAGAATCACTCTTTTCATAGAGCAGCTGAGCTGTGAGAGGTTTTTCTCAATTTCCGCGTTTTGAAAAGTTCCCGGACTGTGTAAAGTTCTCCGTACACGGCTGACTAGACGCGTTGCAACGCTCCTCCTGGAAGCCGTAGGTGTTCGGATGGATGGGAAGGTACCTGATTCTTCTATTCACTGGTCAGATCTATTTGGCAATAGGTCCAGCGAGGAGGGCCCGCGAAGCTTTCTCCTACGTATTCCGGTCATTCGGCAGCGGATAGTTCTCGAGTCGACATGGGATGAGCCGGTTTCGCCAATATGAAGGTAACCAAGGTCAATGATCAAATTCGGAGGGACAGGCGTCATTTGGGCCCATAAGTGAAGACGAACAGCAGCTACAAAAGAGATGTTCGTGAGGACGAATTTCCGGACGACTCTGGACTACCGTACCCCTTCCGAGCTCCATTTATGGACTGAGATGGAGAGAGATCCGGAAGCAATCTAGATAGTGTTCCGCGTAGCGGAGAAAGTCTACGTGGGGATCGTTGTGACAAACCGGATGCCGAGACTGAGCGGCTACCTGGCTGGATAGCGCTCGGCGGTTTCTTATCGGCCTCCTCTGATAAATTCGAATATGTTCCTCCCCGGTGTGGTTGTTGAGTTAGCGATGCGCCGCCGAAAGCGAGGACAGGAAAAGGCCTCGACGAAACTTTAGATCCGAATCGCTGGACAGCTCTTCTCGCAGAGTCGAGATCTTGTTAGTTTTGCCGTTTTCTCCGTGAGTCGGAGTCGTCCCAGAGTCTCTAGCCGTTTGCATGCATAGCCTCCGCCATCTCAACAAAACGTTGGAGAGTGCTCCCCCGCGGCATACAGAGAACGGCTCCATCGAATTCACATCAGTTATGCTCGGAAAGTTTCTTCTTGAATTCGAGGCCCTTCGAGCACTTACTCGAGCCAGATTGGTGAATGCCTCCCAAGCGAATCCTTGACTCGAAGATCCCGTCAATTTCCAAGAGGATCGACCATCGACGTCATTAGGCCACTGTCGACAGCATGACCTGAATCGATTTTTCTACGCGTAACGTTGGGCCGTCGAAACCAGGCACCGCCGACGCGGAACCACAGCAGAGGGACGATGATTGTGATGAGAGTCCTGTGAAACGATCCGGAGGGGATGAATACAGGACAGCAGTCCCTACGGGGCAGGAGCTAAGCAACGGGAGGCCGCCACGCTGCAGAAAAGGAACCCTGAAAGCCGATTTCGTACGAAGTCCGTCGCGTTCGATTGAAATTCCGATCTCCGACGACCGTGGCATTCCCTGCAGACTCGACAATGGCGAGCAAATGCAGATCTCGTCAAATTATGCCTGGATTCCGGGAATTGACTTCATTACTTGGGGAATTGCTCTGAGCGCCTCCAAATCACTCCGAGGCTCTTCCTCGGACACTTTATCCTGGGAACATATCAGCTTGGCTTCTCGCGGAGCGTTGTAGACTCATGAAAACGTTCGCAGCCTTGGGCTTGATGACATCGGTCCCGGTGAAGACCTCGGATGACGATATTGTTTCCGCCGGAAGATAGACGCCAAGGCACCGCGCCGGCGCGATCGATCCGAAAGTTTCCGCGAAAGTACCGCGGATTGCTCACAACAGCGGGACATCTGGTTGTAATTGCTGTGACGGCAGCCTATACTCTGCGAGCTCTTCTATCTCGATTTCGATATCAACATTTATCATTCGAGCGCAGAGACTGTTTCTGATGGTTCCGAGCTACAGAGAGAATAATTTCTGCCTGATGCCATGGATCAGACCACGAACTCGCATTTGAAGCTCGTTCTGGGCCCGTATTTCAATCGGGCCCTCGACAACGATCAGTCCGAATAAAACCTCGCACTCGGGGACGGGTCGCTCCACGCGATCCTCACAACTCCGGGGCACGAACCTTCCCCTCTAACCCGAATCCGTAGGGGCATGGCTCTCTTCAGAATTCGTAGATTCCATTTCACTACCAGATCGTAGTGTTTTGGGTACGCTTCACAAAGGTTCGCAATCGCGGGGAAATGAGGGGAGGGGGAAGACTCCAACGAGTGAATCGCCTAACACTCTCCCCGTGTAAGTGATGGAATTTCCTGATCCCGAGGAATTCGCATACGCCTCGGTCCCTGCTCAGATTCATTTTCATTCGTCGCTGATCCTGTCCCAATCGTTCCACGACCGAAAGCCGGGGAAATACGACATACCAATTTCAGGGGGAATGAGTTTAAAAATAAGATCGAGAACATTGGATTGTTCGTTCAGAGACCTTTCTCTGAAAATACGCTCTTTCTATATGTGGAGCTCATCTCGTTTATATCGCGCAGTCTGGTGCGACGTTTCCCGTTTTCATAACGGCTGCGCTGTCCCGGGTTTCATACCAACATCAGTCCTTTCGTCCCTCTCCCGGACAAAAGGCCCCGAAGTCTCTCCGCGGGCTGCTCTCGGGTCATCCGCCAACGACTTTACGCGGAAGTATGGCGTTCTACGACAAAGCTCACGCGAAGCCTCGGCATTCTCTTGTGGGCATTCCATAAGTTACAACCAAGACTTCCTCATTTACTCTGTGGACAATATCCGCGGTCTCTCCGATCATTTCCGCCTGGTTACATTCACAAATGTGTCTCTTCGAAGAGGACTCCCCACACTTGGTTTGTGCTCGGGAAGATTCGCTCGATTGAGACAGCTTTTATGACGATGATCGAACACCAGCAAGCCGCCCCAGATGATTCGGGCGACCTTCCTTTCCCAAGAACAGCAAGGAGTGCTCGCCACCAAAGGTCGGTGCATGGGAAGATCGTCCTGCGCTCAGAGAGGAAAAGAGGTTCTCCGGTCGCTCCCGAATGCGCATCCACCGCGCATCAGAATGCGGTCCTTCGAATCACAGAGCGACGTCTACTCGAGCCGAGACGCTCCCGAGTTCCCCTACGACCAGAGAGACTATTTCGATATGAGATACCAGCTCCCCACTCCCGTGTTTCGCTCTAGCCTCCTTGCCTCCGATGCGATGTAAGGGCCCCGGACCCTTGAGTACCTGTCGTGAAATTCCACGTCACCAGATGCGATGCTCGCCGTGGATTTTGCCTCTCAAGGTGAATTCAGTTGAAATTCACATCCTGGAGCTATGCTGAAGCTCCTTCCTGGTCGATGTAAGCCTGCAATATTCATCAGGCATAGAACACTCCTTCCGTGTAATCCCTTTAATTATGATAAAAACGTTCCGCTTCTGCCGCGGTCGCGTTCAGACATACCAATCGGCTTACTTGGGACGAGCGGAGGAACGGTACGCGTCGGAACCTCAGCGCGACCATCGCGACCAGCTCAGGAGCTTACCACAAGGCTACAAGCTACCAATCTCACATCCGGCGGTCAAAATCTATCAGGAAGTTCAGATAGCTTTTGGGGACAAGATCGACCTCACTCCAAGCGCATAGACGCTCTTCGGGGCAGGGAAGGTATGCCCCGACTGCGGTAGGCGGGATGCGAAGTTGTCGATGGAGTTCACCATCGACATAAAACAAGTGTTTTCCACCGGCCGAGGGAGCGAAAGCGACGACTTGAGTCAGGTGTGGAATTTCTCACTGTCTTATTCATCTCCCGCAGGAATTCGGCATGGAGTTACTCCTCATAATGAATTGGACCGTAAACGAGGAAATATGCAAGCTCGATCGCGACCGCATGAGAGCATTGTCCATTAGTGCTCCAGAGGCCGCGAACGAGACCGCGACCATCCCGCCAGACCAGGTGAATAACACGTTCAGGGAACGGTGCGGAGCAATGCCATTCCCACTATGCGGAGCGATCTGATGGCTCCCTTGGTTTCCGGGAGCTCCGGGACTCCGCAGGAGCGAGAATTCCCGCCTTCATCAGCTCCCCTCTATTTTTCCGCAGTGGGAAACTCTCGCGGAGAATCTTGCCCAATTTTGCTCTGGCTAGGAGGCAAGGACCGAGTGAATAATAATAATTGGAACTGGCGGTTCCAGATGGACGAGTTCTGGTATCCAGACCTATACTTCGACCAAGCGAGCTCGGTCGTGATGCCGTCGGAGGTTAATCCGACAAAAAACCTCAGAATGATGCGCTTGGAGAATGGATGCGAATTCAAGACCAGGATCAAGTACGTACTGTAGCTAGTCGATGCGATTCGATGCGCCTCCCCGCCCGCGCTCACGGCCCCCGGAAGAGAAGTTTCGCCCAAGCAGCGTCGACGACTCAAAGATAAACATACCAGATTCTGCTGCCCTGTCAGTATTTCCGAGGCTAATCTCAGAGGCCCTCTCGACGTTTTTGCCTCAGATTATCAACGGCAATCAGATGCGTGATGGATTTCATCTGGTTTCCCGTGGATACGCAAGTATGCCCGATAAACATCAGAAGCTGTGAGTGTCTTCCCCGCTGCGACGGGCAAGAGTCCTCGCTGAATTGAGGAGCGACGCATTCGAATTAAAAACTCGTCCCTAAATCTTCAGAACCGAGTTTCTTTCCGCAGTCATTTACCCCGAGAAGAACGTTGGTTTCTACTGGAGGTATTTTCCGGAAGACGCAACCCGGAACGCTCTCAGAATCGACCCCGGGCTGCTGTCCCTGCAATATTCTTTGGGATACGAGTACTTTCCAGAACTCCGAGATCGTTGGTCGGACCCGAGTGAGTACCTAGTTCAGGAAACTAAAGCGCATCCCTGCCGTCCATCTTAGACCTCTAACCCAATCCATATCTCGAATGATGAATTCCTTATTCCTCACTCGGAATCTATCAAGTGCGTACGCTATGTACTTATTTCCTCATGTCCGAGGAGAGCGCTCCTCGGGGCATCTCCTTCGAGTTCTCAGAACTCAATAATGGTGAAACTTTCGTTGCAGTTTACGCTGAATTCAAAGCTCGCGGCGTCAGTTTCGTGCTCAGGTTCCGCCGGAACGTTTTCTACCAAATACTAAACACGTACATCCCGTTCCTGGGGAATGTCATCACTGCGTTTGCGGCATTTTGGATGAGTTCTCAGGCCATCGCGTCGAGAATCAATATGACGACCATAACCCTCTTGGCCATGTTCACGCAGATGAGCACCTATCGCACTCAGTTGCCACAACTTCCTCTAGTCACGGTGAGCTCCGCTGCTCGACCCCCGGGGAGAGCCGGTTTTCAGTGTTGCCCGAGACTCGACGTGTGATTCAGCGGAGGCTTATGCAGGGAACCGATTTCGAGGGAGTCCGCCTCATCAGGAGAATAAGACGAATGCACATTGAATTGAATAGCTCTTTTATTGTAAAGGGGAAAAACGAAAGAAAAACATCACATTTCATTGTTTACTGAGAGCATGTAACAAAAGAAATCTAGGGGGGCCCTGAGAGTGAGCGAACTTTGATATCCGCCACGCAATGAGGCAATTGATACGTTCTGATTTGGCAACAAACTTCGGCATGACAGTGCATCTGCTTCGACGATCGTTGGCCCTGATATCGAAGAATAGGTCTAGCAGGTCCGCCCTATAAAGCTGGCAAAGAACACGGAGATCAAACTCATCCAGCACATCCGAAACGGAACGGGATCCCAGTCCTGATACGAACATCGCAGACGGAGCCGCTCCCGGAAATAATCCTGAACGCCGTTGATGATCTTCCGAAGATGTGCGAGGGAAGGATTCCCCACCGGCGAGCAGTAAAGGAGTCGAGGCAGAATCAGCGAGTTGAAGAGTCGAATGTATAGGTCGGGCAGCTTGATGACGAGACATCGGAAGATCGAGTTTACCAGCGATTGCGATGAACGAACCAACTGACAGATATGATCATTGAAGTCGAGGTTGGGGCGGATGAGGACACCTAGATCCTTGGTGGATGTGGACTCCTACGTGGATTCTCCACGTAGAAAGTCTACATTACGGAAATCCAGATCCGATTGGGATGCATTCCCATCGGGAGATCGAATCGGCTTAATCTTGAGCGAGCCCCTTGTCGGTCTTGATGGGCCTCATGGAGCATCGCGAGGTGCACTATCTAACGATGGCTGGCGCAAGCTCGGGAGAATTCATTGGCTCATTGTCATTTTGGTCGCGGAGAGGACGCTCGATGGACGTAATTACCAGTATCGGGATGAAACCTTCGAAACCGGAAGATCCTTGGACCCATAAGCAGCGCTCCGCTGACTGCATTTCTTTGGCTGTTCCGGTGAAGAGGAACTTTCGGAAATCTCTCCCGCCATCCGGAGCTCCGATAGGTCCGCGGACAGTTGATGGGTAATCGGAGCAGAGCAGCAGACGTCGACTCTGAATGCCGAGGCTCTTCCTTTCTATCGTATTCGGGATGGGGTCGGGTGAACTTCTTTCCGCCATTATCCTCGTTCCTCGAACCGACAGAGGGAGCCGAATTCACCTCGAAGCGCTTTCTAGAAGACGGTAGCGGGATTGCCTCACCGTTCTCGCCGGTCGAGCTTAAAAACTAACGAGAGCGGATTCGTTTCCAGTCTGAAAAAAACTCCTGGAAAACGATCACACCGAACAGGCATCCGAAGCTCGGAAGCTGCGAAAGGTGGATTTTCATTCGATTCGGCTCCCAATCCAGCCTGCGCAAGGTCCTAATCCCGTTTGTGGGGCCCGAACCGGAGCTCAGTCGATTCAAGCGCTCCTTTGAGCTCCCGGCCGCGCAATCAGACGCATTTCGATCCTGCTGGTGGCGGAGAGAGGGGAATAGGAGAGTCACGCATCCATATATAGACTGCTTCGAGTGAAAGCATAAAAACATTCACTCTGAAGCTATGCAATGAATGGAGCTCCTCACCCGAAGCCCTCACAGCTCCCTTGGTGGACTCTCCGATTTCAGCTCCTCGGCGCGCTATCAAGGCGAATCCGCGGCTCAGATACAAATGTAATGATGAGATGCGTGCCTCATCCATCGAGCCTCTCGATAGGTCTCACTGAAATCGATGATTTGGCATAGAGCGTGATTCCTGGAGTTTCGCGGCTCGAATAAGACTGTTTCTAGCGCTTGAGAGCAAAATCGAGCTACAGCTACACAGGAAAAACCGGATCGACAATCGTGATTCCCCTCGCGCTCACCCTCCGTGAGCTCATTGGCGAGATTCGAGGTCCTCTCAGCCCTCTCGAGGATATCATGCAATGGAAAAGAGCTCAGAGGACATTCTCAAACAGGCCAAACCGGGAGGAAATTGGATTCGCCGTCGAACTTGGTGGCGAACCTCAAGTTTTCATTCGGTCGAACATCTATGCTTAAGTGCTTTCCCGATCTGGGAGATCTCTCAGTTTTCTGTAATGTTAGATATGAAACGTATCGTCGACGGTCGATCAACGGGAAAAGCTCCGTCGATCCAGCCAGCGAGGATTGTTTTTCTGGTCTCCCGAGGATAGCATTTCGGAGCATTCGGAAAATGAGTTTCTCCGCGACGAAAAAGTGCATTTCCTTCGGGCGGGTTTTTTCGGTCGACTGTTGCTCTTCCTCACAAGTCTCCGTAGGCTTCAACGATCAGGAGCGAAGGGTGTATTTTTCCTGAGACTCCCACACACAGACTTAGCTCAAAACACGTTATCGCTTTTTTCGATTATCGCGAAATGAACGCTAGAAACTCGCGTTCAACCATCTAGCGAACACCACGTGAATGGAGTTGCGAGCCCCAGGAGCTTCAGCCCTGTTGTTCGACTCTGACAAGATGTCAGATCTCATAACGCGCAGGAAGCGCTTCCGCTACCCATCACGTTTTCTGTGGGAGCCCACGAAGATTCCATGTTTGTTGTGTTCGTCAACCCGGAGCAGAGCGGCAATGAACAGGATTCGCTGCCAGATCGCTATGCAGGAACTAGGTCGGTTATGCGGACATGATCTTCGCCTTGAGTTCTTCAAATCTGATTCTCGTGATTCCAGCTACTCGGGTCTCATACACCTAATATGAATGAATTTCGGCTTCGCAAAACGCAGATTCAGAGAGGGGCTACCCGAAACCAGGTCGAGCGAATCAATCGGAGCTTCTGAGCGACAAATGACCCAAATTCACTTCACAGGCGTGTGATTCATTCGTAATGCTTTGTATGTTGAATGTCTTCGCGAGCACCGTGGAATGTGTTCTGGTGCAGCGAGCCAATCACTTGATGAAACGAGACGGAAAAGGGCCGAAGCGGATCGTATCCCGACAGAAGCATTTCTTCAATCAGGTATGTGGCTCGAACGGGAGTCAGGAGATCAGGGAAGCCTTGCTTGTGTGTGCTTCGAGTGATATCTCCGACTGAGGTATGATGTTCCCGACGCTGTAGTCCATGTCTACATGATCCCTGGTCGAGGCCGATATTCGGCCGATGGAGAGCGAGAGCATGGTGTAGAGAATCCAGCGACGTATAGCTGACGCTCGCATAGATGAGCGGAGAAAGTCAACTATAGAAAATTTCGAAATGCCCTCAAGGTATGAGGGTCACGTCAACTTGGTTTGGGTCTGAACTTCGGAGTGATCGGCGCGCTGGCCAGCGGCGAGGATGGCGCTCGATATTTGCGAAATGAAGCCAGTGCGCTTCGGAGGACTTTGGAGCGACGTTGGAACGAATCTCCTGCATGGTCATACATACGCGATGGAAATCATTCATCTTGCTCCTTGACGCTGATCTTGTCCACTGCTACTCCCAGCTCGGATTCGATCGCATTCTTCGTCGTATTGACGCGCGTTTGACGTAGCGGTCCCAGGTCATCAAAAGATGACTCCTGCTAATCGTCGCGATGCTCAAACTCGGCATCAACAGGGGAACGCTCTCAGCATGCCGGCATAATCCTGAGTTTAATTTTGCTTCGCTAAACTCCGCTGAGAGCTTCGTCGGAGCTCGGCGACGGATAATTTCGGCTATGGCCTGAGGACAGACGTCGATTCCAAAGTCCGACGCAGGAATTATGCTCCCGCCACCGTTATGGAAAGATTGTCTCCCTCGAGGATTTCCGACCACTCATCTATTTGCTATGAGTCTCGAGACCCGGTCTCGCTTCGTGGCGTACCTCGGAAAAGCCGCCCCGTCTCGCCTCGGTCCTCGATTGGGCTAAACCATCTCGTGAGGACTCTCAAGCTCCTGACCATGTGTCTTTCGATAAGTTCCCCAGCACCGCATTGAAATTCCTCGAACACCGACTTCTTTTTTGAATCATAAATCATAATAGACTGTACCAAGTGGCTACGATTGGTAACCTGGACTAGATTCAAGCGTTCCATTTCAGAAAACATCGAAGCGCGACAAGAAAAGTCCGAAACGGAATCCGATGGCGTTATTCCCACGCATTTTCCATCCTCGCTCGTGGCAAAAACCGCAGAGAGCTGTCCAAGAACCGCTCATGGTTGACGGTGTCATGAGGAAGTATTTGGTCGCGGAGTTCGTGCTCCTAGTTTGCGTAGCTCATCCGCTGGCGCTTGTTTTTCTTGCGCGTTAATTGAAACTCACGTTTCGACGTCTGAGAAACCCTTTCGAGAACTCCCAGGCTGACCATGATGGACAGCTCGAGTTGGAGGAAGACCGATTCTAGTTCATGCAGATAGGGACGGCGCTTGGAACCTCCAGGTTCCTTCTGCCTCGTTGTCGAATAAAGTGTCTACAGGGAAAAGCGCTTCTGTAATTATTTCTCTTCATCATTGATGCTGATGGATCATTGGTGCACTTGACGCACCTTCCAGAACGACCTCTGACCAGAACGCTGAGCTGGGCAAAAGAAACCCCGTTTCTCGACACCCTCGCTCCTTGACTCCGCCACGATATCTTCCCCCTTCCATATTTCTCCGTCGTGCTGAATCGACTTAGCGGAGATCTCTCGTCACGAAGGAGCGAATTGTGCGAATTTCCTCGTCTCATTGTCAGATCACGCTGTCGCCGGCCGGTGCTTACCGGAACGAGAGAGTACGCTGAGGGATGAAACTTCGAGAAGAAACGCGGCCGGGGAATGATGATGGTGCGAGCTACGGGGGAGGGAGCCCGCCGAAGCGAGCAACTTGCAAGTATTCCAGAGATTGTCATCCCACTCGGGAACCTGGTGGAGCCATTAACCCCGGAATCGTACTCGATTCCACAATCTTTTTCGACGACACGACACTGAACTCGGGTGCAAACATTTCCGTCGATTCACGGAACCTCTTCCACAGTATTTTTCGAGCGGACGACGCCCCGGGGCTCGAATTCATTGCTCGCTCCATTACGGTTGCTATTTGAGAAAGTGTCCTGGGAGTTCTCCTTCAGCTTCCTTCTGGAATGCCCGATATTCGGAAATAGAGACAATGTCGGAGAGATGAAATCTTCCTTCCACGAAGTCGCGGATGAGCTCTGAGCCAGTCGAGATGACTCGTTCCATCCTAGTAGGCCCATTGAGAACACCGGGAAAGATATGCGTCTAGATTCCGCAATCAAAGTACACTCTGTCGCAGACTCTCGCACTTTGACAGAGTGTGGAGCAACACACGGGAGCGGGCAATGAACGTGCCCTAGAACTAGATCTCGTCTTTTAATTCGAAAGATGAGCTCCGAAACGGACGTAGTCGAGTAGGGCTGATGCTGCCCGCTATATTCCTGCATCGATGTTGTCGTAACGGGACAAACCGCCGATCGAGAACCTCCCGCGGGCCACGAGAAGGGTGGAAATCGAAAATCTCCGCACTGGAACGTGATGTGGCTTTGTGAGTGGACATCCGGGGGCAGCAAAAGTAGAATAATCTCATGCCCTAGAACGCTTTGGAACCCCGTCTATGCCTGGGAATGACATCTGATCGGTTGTCTATGATTGGAAATCCAGCCTCGCGCTGGAACGCGCTTCGGGAAAGGCTCTCCTTGACGATAGAGTTTTATCCCTGAGGTTTCTTAAATCGAGGCTCTCGGATTTTATTTATCCTCCTCGCTTCCTTGTGGGAGGGCGGGGCGAACGCTTCGCTCCACATCGATAATGGGATCGGGTTTACTCATGGAGATGCGAGCGGTATATCTCCGTATCGGAGCGATTCTCCCATGAAAGACTCGATGTCGAGACTCCCTAGTCGTACCTCGAATAGCAGCAAGGCTGAAATTCTTTCGGCTGTACTCCGAGAATTTTCCCGCGGGCGGAGGCGAAACAGACTCTCGCAGGGCTCGATTGATTCATCAGATCATGGGTCAGGAAACTTGGGTCTGGGTCTGACCGTGTCATTGTAGCAGGAACCCCCATGCCCGGGATGCTTCGATGAGACGAGGACTCAGTCTACTCTCACTTCATGAATGACGCAGAGCTGAGAATGCTTGATATTCCAGGGCGACTGTGTCCTCAGAGAAAGGGGTATTCTTCACCGCTAAAGGGGAGTAAGCTCGATAGTTCACGAGGTTTCATGAATATGCTCCTGTTGCGAAAAAACCTCCAATACAGGAGCGCCCAGGGTAGAATAATTCGATCCGAGGCGGGTATGACTGGGCTCGAGTTATTGTGAGCATCTATCAAGGTCCATCCTTTGTCGATGTTTCCTCTTTTCCTGCAATTACGACTCCTTTTAGAGCTCTCGCTTCGAAGAACGAACGTCGCTTAGCGCCCCGCTACGAGTTGGAAGGCAATTAGCCGCTAATTATGGGTTTCTGTAAGGGCTCCTGTGAGTCTCACTGCGGTTTGCGTTTGACTCGCCCTGGAAGTATTCCGCTAGCCTGTCGTACACCTGGATGCCCCCCCGATATTCCTGATCGAAATAAAGACCGTCAGAGATTCTCTGTTGTCCGTTGTTTCCGATTTCGATGCGGACTCTGCACGATTCCGCGAAGCTACTCATATACCCGCTCGCCCGATCACTTGCGAGCGCATGCTCATCTTACTCTTTCTTGCAGCGTTTTTATAGCCGGAACGTCACACAGGACGTTCTGTCAAAGGAATCGTCCATAAAGGTGTTGACAACGTCCTCGAGCAGTTGACAGTTTCTCGTGTCGTTCCGGACCTCATCTCGATAGAGCGATCTCGCTTACTCGGCGGAGCGATACGCGATCAAAGTGCCCGATTGAGGAAGCAGCTCAAGTTGGAACCAACGACTCCGCGAAATGGAGCGGGTACTCGATAAATTAGGCCCATGGCATATTCCGGTGGTTCTCTTAGCACTCACATCCTCGATTCCGTACGGTTTTTTCGTGATGAGTTTGAGCTACATGGCTCCAAGAATGAGTTATTGGTGCAAGCCGCCGCCCAACATCAACGACTCGCTCTGGATGAAATTGAACGAAGGTGTCGATCTCCGGTGCGAGTTCTGGAAGGACAACTCTACCCAGAAGTGTCACGAATGGGAATACGATCACACCGAGCATGAGAGTACGCTGTTGGAACAGGTGGGTGGGCGGTGATACATTGCTTCGAGTCGATGAGAAACTATAGGTCATGTACCTGTGTATTAAGTCATCGATCTGGTCGGTGTCATCTCTTGCAGTGGAATGCAGTTTGTGATCAGGATTGGATGCTAGCTACGGCTCAGAGCACAATAATGTTCGGTGCCCTGATCGGATGCTTCGTGTTCTCGCACCTATCGGACTGGTACGGACGGAGGACGAGCTACCTCGCTTCTCTCTTCGTCATAATTACTTGCGGTTTCGGCATTTCGTATACGACGAATTTCTGGATGTTCTGTTTCCTCCGGCTCGTTATGGCAACGGGTCACGGTGGGAAGAGGGCCAGCAGCGCACTCTGTGAGTACGATGCGATCCTTGTGAGCCCGTGTCGCTCCATCCTGCGGCGCTATTTGAGCGGGAATCCGATGATGTCACGCGATATACATACTTCACAGACACTGAATCGGTCGGGGCGACTCATCGGGCTATGGTCACGGTAGGCCAGGACTTTGGTTGGTGTCTTGGTCTTCTGATAATACCCATCATCACCTATCACGTGAGAGACTGGGTTCTGATTCAAAGGATTATAATATTACCCGAGTTCATTTTCGTCGTCCTCGCGTGGTTCGTATTTTCTACAGTAAGGAACGAAGAAGTAATGCATGAGATTCTAAACGCGTTTCCATCGAGTTGCGCGCCCCACTCTAATTGATTCGACCAATGAATCGTTTCAAGCCTCGTGGACGAATCTCCGAAATGGTTGCTATCCGCGGGCAAATACGATGAGTGCCGAGCCTTGCTGGCGAAGATCGTGAAACGAAATGGAATCGATCGGGACGAAGACGTCGATATCGACGCCATCATGGAAGAGTCCAAAACGTCGTTGATGCTGGTGGGTAGCGGCGCTGTGCTTCCAGTGAACTAAGCCCAGTCCGCGCAGTCCATCCGCTTGAAACTTGAATACCTGAGATAATCGAACGCCTTAGTTTGCATGTCTTCGCTTTTAGGAGAAAAGATCGCGCAAAGGAACACTAATTGACCTTGTCCGCGGCTGGACTATCTGCAAGCTCTCGATTTCCTGTTGGGGTCAATAGTGAGTTTCGGCGCCGGCTCGGACAAAGTAGAAACTGATACCCTCGGGGCTCGGAACCGACGCTCGAATTTTGTTTTGTTCCTTGTCAATAAGAGAGCTCCCCGACCCCGCATCTTTTACGAAGCGGTGTCTGATTTAGAGCAAGATCCCAGGCGACAATAATGATGTTTGATAACGATTCCCTAAGAATCATGATTTCTCTCTTTCCCAGCGCTGTCATTATTCTCCTGTATTACCACATGATGTATTTCATAGTGGATATCGGCAGCGATCCTTATATGGGTGTCGTCTACATGGCGCTACTTGAAATACCGACCACGGCAGCCTCGTGGTGGGTTGTGAGAACGTTTCGACGAAAGCCCGTTTATTTATGGTCATATCTTCTAGCGATCTTCTCCGGCATCGCTCTGCTCTTTTCAACCGAAGGCGAGTCAATCTTTTCGGAACGCCAGGAGAGAACAATCCGCGTTTTCGACGATGATTTCTTGACCCGTCGTCCATTGAACATTACCCTTTACTGAACGAAATCATAGATTCCGTCATGATGCGGATGGTCCTGGCGAACCTCGGCAAGATGGCATCGATGTTCCTGTTCAATGGTCTGCTCGTCCACGTGTCTGAGTGCTTCCCGACGAAAGTACGTTCGGTCGCACTCGGCACTTCCGCAATGGCGTCCAGAGTCGGGGCGATGGCTGCGCCGTTTCTCAAACAAATCGTACGTGCGTGCACCCCTTCCGGGGGTTTCGCGATACTTCCCCCCCCCCCCCCGAACGATTAATCGGTTCCCCGGAACGAGAGATCGGAACGCGACGTCCTACGCATAATTTCCAGGAAGCAACGCGAACTGAAATTATTCCATTCTTGCAGGGTATCGCAACGGCTCCGTGGGTGCCTATCTGTGTAACAATATCTTTGTGCATAGTGGCGCTGCTTCTTTCACTCCTCCTGCCTGAAACGTTTGGCAAAAAACTGCCCGACACGTTTTACGAAGCCAAGCAGATGACACGGTGAGTTGCTCTCATTTGCAGTCCCGTTCATCGAACGTTGGCTCCGTTTCTTCTGCCGTCGGCTGGCACTACGCGCTGCGATCAGAAAGTCACAGTTGGATGGTACTGCAAGCACGATGACGACAGAAACGACTCAAGTAGTGGCAGAAGAGGAACCGCTCGTACGATAGCCGGTACTGAGACGCAGCAGTGATTTTCGTCATAAATCTGAGGGCTTCGAGTGGACGAAAAATGAATCAATATCATCATACCAACGTCGCAATCTGCTCTCGTTTGAGCGTTAGCCGGCTTTCCTCGAAAGGCGCGGATCGGGAATATTGACAGGCTCGGATCGGACATCAAGAGAAACCTACATAATATTTGCGGGAATCCCTCGACGGAAATTGGCGCTTCACCCTCGCCCCGCCTCGACGGCGATTTGGAATAGGAACGTCTTCGCCGCGATTCAGTGAGTTTGAACGATTTGCTCTGTTTCATTGGAAACCGATTCTTTCAGACAATCATCAGCTTCGAAAGGAAAGTCCCTTCTGCCTCCATCCTAGTTCCTGCGTTGCTCCGGAATGAATGTTGAAACGAATGTGTGGCTATGTGAATAAACGAAAGACACGGAACAGTGTCAATGAGGAAACCTTCTGAGGGATCAGGTGTGATTATCAAATTGCACAATTTATTCTTGTATACAGTATTTCATCACAGTATGATATCATGTAGGCAATCCGGAGGCTATTGAATATCTATCGTCTCGAGATAGATTGCAACCTCCGACCAGAGCGAGCGCTCAGTTCTCATCCCGACTAATCAAAGACAGAGAGCAGAAAAGGACTTCAGGACAAAGAAAGTCGTACGTTAAAAAATGCTCGAGAGGCAGATATTGAAGAGGAAAAAACTCTTCACGTTTGAACGATTATGTGTGTCTTCTCGATGGTGAGAAAACGTTGCTGCGACGCGCTCGATTGCGGCTGCTCGTTGTTTTCCATGAAATAGGAGCGACCGCTCGAAAACTAATCCGGATTCGCGGAGAAATATCTGGTCAGGTACGCGATTGTCAGTAGATTCTAAGCTAGGAGATCTTTGAGGTAAGTTCCTGGTGCTCCTTGATCAGCTTTGCGAACCAGTCACGCGAGTGTTCGAGTGAAGTGGGCAAAGTTGGAAGAGGTTTACGAAAGACCACAACGCCGATTAGGTAATGACCGACTCCCGACAGCAGCAGCACGGTCACTGCGATCCAGCCCGAGTATCGGAGAATAATTCCCATCACGAGAAATCCCAGGATCACTTGCAGGATATGCAGAAACGTCTGAATCAGATGGAAACGAATTCTGTGGAAATAAAATGGAACGACCTAGTTTCAGTTTTTTCAAAACTGGACTATTGTTGCCGACGCCGCAGCAGCCAGCGTAAGTGATTTCACTGACTTCGTCTCGGGATCTGACGACGACGTCGACGACGACGACCACCACCACCACGATGGCCAATAAGACGAAGGCGGCGGCTGTAGCAGGCAGATATCGAAGTGATCGGACTGATTTCAGCATGATAGCGTCGAGTCAACCCACCTGTACCAGATTTTGTCGACATTAATGCGATGACGCCCGCAAACCAGGTCGTTGCTTGTTGTGGGCAAAGCTCTTTTCTCGAGTTTGCAGCGACGGGATCGAACGTAGACACTTTCTTTGGTTCGCTGACGTACCTCGCGAAGGTACTGTCTCGAGACGATGATGCTCTCGTAGAGCGCACTGAAGGCCGCTACGCCTAAGCAGAGACAGCTCATACCTGCCGGAGTGGATGGTTAATCGCGTAAGCGGCGAGTTCTTGCGTTGCGTCGTCGTTGCTATGAACGGGCTCATGTTGCGCATAGATTTGTCCGTCCGGAAGTCATCGGCGACAATCTTGTTCACTCCTCTAATTAGCTGTTGTTGCTCCACAACGAGGTAGCCAATCCATTGGTCGAAGGAGAAAATTTCCATATCTAAGTAAGCTAGCCAGCTAATCAGCCAGCTAGGTAGATAGCTGGCTTACTCACCGACCACAGACGAGAGCGTGATTCCTTTTGACAATTGGTGGAGGTGATTTGCGAAGTGGTGTATATCGAAAGCCATTGAATATCCGGAGGTTTCATCCGCTCCCTCCAGAAGTTCATTTTCCGAACCCTCCATCTCCATCTGAAAAGATCGATCTAGATTTTATCTCACCCCCCTTATCGGCATTTCTGCAAGATTCCTTTTCTAGATTATCCGAGCGAATCAGAATCGCTTGGTCTGATGTGATTTATTCACGCAAATAATTTCAGGAAGGGATGCAGTGCACTCCCCTAGTTGATTCGTCGTCGTCGGCCGCAATCTCATGTTACGCCCAGTGAACTTGCATGTCGCCATCGCGCTTCTAAACCGGAACTCGGCATGGCAGGCCGGGCAGACCGCAGGCTTTCGGGAGTCAAAACAAGGAACCGGTCTTGATTACCTACTCGGTGATCACGATCTCGAACTCCGCAATAATATCCGCAACAGCTGTGGGCTAGCACGAGTGCGGAAGGGAATCGACTGCAACATCCGGATACTTGAATGAACTTAATTCTTGAATTTCTGTTCCCCTCGGTGCGATTCGCGATCCTACGCGTCTTCATGGCTCGGATGAGCTCTTCTGAGTTTTATGCGAGGCGTCAATCGCTTTCGATTTCGGAATCAGCCGGGGACTCGATCTCTGATCTCCAGAGTTCGACGGCTGTTTCGGTTTGTTGAACGAATCCCATTCAGGGGTGCGGCGACAGGATTTCCCTTAACGTGACACAGTAGAGCTCAATCTGACTCCCCGGAGAAATGATCCTTCCGCTGGGCTCAATCGACTACATAGCATCAGGAAGCGAACGGGAAAAAGGCTTTAGCGACCTGATGATTCATCTCACCATTTGCTGTCAATTTGTCTGTGGGTGTCCGTCATGATTTCCGTGCAAGCCTCTGCCTTGGAAAATGCATTCGAGCGAAAACAAAGCAGGAAAAAAAGGGACAACGCCCGCGGACTAACAGTTACGAAGAGTCGGAACAAAAGACCGTCGCCAGCAGCGACATAGAGAAAGCAACGACCGAAGGATCAAACAAAAGGAGGGATCTCCGCCGAGTCGACGAACGGGGAAGTCGACGCCTTCCCCGATCCTTTGTTTCCAACAGATCCTCCGAACCTAAGATATCCCGTAAGAGCTCCAAACCACTGCCGTTCTCGAGCTCATGGCCGGAAACTCATGCGAAAGTACAATCACCGTGATCCACAGCCGGTATCCAGAACAGCATCTTGATTCTTCAAGACCGAACAATTGCTTTCTGTGGCCTATACATATGGTTTCCTCGAAGTCCCGACCGAAGCTGTGTCAGCGGAGCGATTCTGCAGTGGGTGATGAACTTTGGCCGATCAGCTGACACAATTCCGGCGGCCACGGTCAACGCGTGTTCCAATATCTGCACTACGGGCAGTGTTTACCAATCAGTGAAGACACTGATTTGAAACTCCGATCTGCTGGCCCGGATCTGAGATCGCAAACTCTGAGCTATGGGACCGGCTTGACCGAAAGCTCAGATTACCTAGTCACAGGCGTCCGAGGCTCGGGGCCGGGCTGGAGTCTCCCCGCTAGAAAGTTCTCCGAAATATTCTGAGCTCTCACCTCAATCTCGAGTCGTTTCCCTCATTCACGTTTGCTGAGCTTGCGACGCAAATCCAGATCTCAGCGAGCAGGCGCTATTCACAGAATCGAGCCGTCGCGAACGGAGAAACCAGCTGCTGAAACTTCGATCTCAGAATGCACGGGACGACGAGCTGATCAAAAGCTGCCCTAGCTGACGATTCTATCGCAGCTGACCCAGTCGCTCCGGACCAGTCTGGTCGGGGACGGCGACAGTCTACGCCATCTTGGGGAGAGTGAAGTTATTGAAGAAGATTCTGAGGAGCTGCTCCAGCAAGCGTCGCTGCCACCGTTCGACAAGTACCTGCGGAAAGCAGCAACGAGCTTCTCGAGCGAAAGAAGCAGCGAACAACGGTGCCGCGTCTTCTGCTGCTGCTGCCACCGTTCGCCGACCCTAAACTGAGAAAATCCTCTTTTCCCGGCAGATGAGTGAGACGAGTGGGTGGGTTGTTGGCTTGCCGGCCGGTTACCGGCCACTAGAATGCTGATGATGATGCATGCAATCGAGTGAACTGGTACATGGTGGAAAACCGTGGGAACGCCGAAAGATTGATTCCCGTTCCTCGACTGCGGGCATGAACGTATCGATAGGTGTGCCAGCGGGACGGCCTGAACAAGGGATCGAGCCTGGAAACCCACGGCTCGTTTTGGGAGCCCCAGCAAGACCTCGCGCTGACCCTTTCATCCAGTGATGTGTCCCTTGATTAGATAGCCAGGGGAGAGAAAAGCCCGGAAAAGCGCATAAATTCCGAATATCGTCGATTGTCCGCTTGATTCCCTCCATGGACGGCAAAGTTCACTATCTTTGTTCGCTGCCTCAACCCCGGCACTGAAGATCCAGAATGTTCGGGAATCGACGCTCTGGGTGGTGGGAGAGGACTTTTCACGAGACTTTGGAATGCAATCACTTGAGAGATAACTTTATTGTCTTGTTGAGAAAGTAAAAGTGATTTTTGGCTCAGGGATGAGCGGACCTCGGTCATATTGAAAAGACGCTTGCGTAAGTTATTTACAACAACAACCTCGACGGACAGATGGGTAGAAAAGGAACAGTTTGCGTTGAATCCTTGCCACGAAAGTATTCCTGGGCGAACGCGAATTCAATCGGACTCCGGTGTCTCCTGAATGACTCTAGTTTGACGACTCTGCACGGTCAGGCCGTCGCTCGAATTTCCGGAACACAGTGAATTTCAATGGAGTAGAACGCGGCTTGTGAGGTGACGGCAATGTTTGCTTAAGGTGGTCGTACTGCGGCCCGGCGGGGGAATTCAACATAGCCATCCGACAATGAGCCAAGTCAGGTTGGTTTTCGGAGTCATCTCCTACGAAATCATCCATGTAGCCGAAACGAAATCAGCGATTCCATCATCAGCGTCATGACCATCAGTGTCATTGTCGAATGGAGCGATGCCGTAGTGTTGCAGAACGATCGCGAGCAGAGAACAAAATGTGGCTCAACGAATAGATTTAGTGAACCAAGAATGAGCTTTGCAATAAATAAAGACCGAGAGGGAAATGGGTGCGAATCCGAAATCGCTGCTCCGTTCGGATTAAGTGACGTCCGATCAGCTGACGCGCTGCCAACGATGCCGACGGTCGGATCGAGCCACCGACGCGCCGCAGCAACGGTCAGAATGCGTGTGAAAAATGTTTTCCGTGCTTTTGGCGCGATCTCTGAACTTTGTTCTATTGTGCATCTATTGCGGTCAACGCACGACTTTCTGCTTCTTCCTATTCGGCTCCTCATAATGTTTGGATCCGATCGCTGATATTCTGCTATTCACAGACGCACCGAGCGAAAATGTCTTCCGCCTGGAACCGTAACCGAATCCGCGGGGAGCCGAGTTGAAATTCTGGCGCTGGAATGAAATTCATTGGAACGTTAGTATTCCTTCTCGACATCTCATAAGTCTTCTACGCTCCGATTGGTGGAAATTCATTTTCGACTGTGACTCGCGTCATGCTTCCCGAAGCGTCGAAAAGAGGAAAAAGTTTGGCGAGGAGCGTTTTCCAAATCGATCGCCTCCGCTCTGCGTGAGAGGTGACGCGCCGAAAAACAGTTAGTTTTTATTCGCAACAATCGCGCCAATGGCACCAGAACACTCACGTCGTACGGGTTGAACAGCCGTGCTTGGTCGGCCTGCGCTGGCACATTCTCCTGGTTCGGCATCGGGAAGCTGGGATAATCTCCTAAAGGCTCGCCCAAAGCATTGAAAAATTGGGGAGGCGGCAGAGCTTCGCATTCGAACGGGAGAAGTGGCACGGGGGCCTCCCCCCGCGGTCGGGAGGCCGCACTGGAAGCGTACCTTTGCGGACGGATCGTTTTCGGTCTCGGAGGAGGCGGTGGAGGTTCTATGTGCAAGGAATTCGGAATTTATTTTACCTCTCCAGATTTAGCAATGCGAAGGGAAGGCGGCGACAATGGAAACCCGCTCACCTGGTTTCTTCATAGTCACGCATACGTTTTGCGTGGAGCCCCAGCCGCGGGGCAAACGAGCTCTCAGAGTATCGTTTGCGCCGCCGGCGAGCGGTACGCAAGGAACGTCGGCCACCGGTAGAGGACTCAGTGGAGTTCTCGTCTCCACACAGGCCTTAACACACGGCGCTGTTCAGATTAGAAGACATTTTTGACTCGGGACTGAGCTCGAAAGAATATGAGATCTTCGAATTCCGCAGGACAATGGGATGCTCGGTCCGTCTCATTCACCTGATCCGTTTATGGTCTGGAAAGCTGCGTCCACAGCTCCTACAGGACTCTCAGACGCGGCTTCCCACGGGCTTTTGATGAGACGCAGTCGCGTCGGCTGTGATATTCGCTCAAGGTACCTGTAGGCGGAACGGAAAGACTCGCAGTTTCTCGATACAGAGGAACGAGCTTTCTATAACTTTCTCCGATAGACACACCGCCCACAGAGAATCATTTCACGCTTACCTGTCCGCGGGCGTTCTGACACGCGGTGCCTGGACATAAGGTTTCGGCGGGGGCTTTGGCGGGAAGCTCGGGCATTGAGTTTCATTCTCTTTCTCCTTCTCAGGCCATTTGTCGCCAAGCTGTGCTCTGAGTTTGTCGACGTCCACTATCCAATCCTCGGACTGCAGGATCAAGGGTGAATTTTATCCCGCCCGTCCGGCCACACGGAAAAAAATAGCGAGAGGGTTTCTCACGATGTAACAAGTTAATACTTGATCCTCGCAACAGAGCTAGACTTGTTTCTCATAAGTACAGGAATGTTCTTCCTGGGCTCCATCATCCTTGTCCCCGTCGGCGAAACTCGCATCTACCTTCCCGGAGCCGGCCGGGGACCGAAAATTAACCCCAGCTCCACGAGGAAGACGGACCTAAATGCTGCTCCTCATTCCGAATGAAATTCCATAGAGCTCGGAGTAGTCGTCCCGAGCCAGACTCCTCCTCTCACAAACGATATTTGCATATTCTAAACTCCATGAATCGTCCACTCAGGAGCGAAAATCAAGGGATTTCGGGTCTGAGAAGCAGAAACCGAGGTGTTCCTCTCAACTCTAATCCGGCATTTTTGGGGCACGGCCCGAAATTCCGACGACTGGAACGCTAACGAACCTTCTTCTTGCGCTTCGCGAACATTTGGGCTCCCTTCCCGCTCGGTGAGTTGAGACCCTTCACAATATCCAGACAGACTTCGGGGCTCACGGTCAGGTCTTGTGCGGGCTTATCCCATTGATCTTTCGGAACAGAAGGAGCCATGAGTAGCTTCAGCTTCGGTGGTTCCTTAAAAACGAATGGAGCTCAGTTGGGAGCAAAAAAGACCCTCGTCTCATTCTAAAGCTTCCATCGGCAATGATGGGGTTCCTTCGCCGCCCGGAATGGGGTGAGCATGGGGATTTGGAGCATGCGCGGTGGAGCTGGTGGGGTTCGAGAGTTGCGGTCGAGGCGATCAGAGCCGTGAATTAAGAGCTTTGATTATCAAAGACTATCCAAACATTCACCTTGGAAATCTTGACTCCAGGGAACTTGTCGGGATCAGGGACTGTTGAACAATCTTCGCTTTCCGTGTATTCGGATTCAGAAACTCCGGGCGCTGCTAGAGGAAACTTTGATTGACACACGAGGAACGGCAACCTGGATTCGTTGCAGGGACCACTCGCGAGAATTTCCTCAATCAGACTCGTAGCGATGTAGGCCATAGATCGAAATCGAAGTGTACATGGCTATGGAGTATATGAAGAAAGAATACGCCCCGGAATATCTCGTGCACAGTACTCACCCTGATGAACCCACTTGTGGCTCCGTTTGACTCGCCGGAAGAACATGTTCGCTCCCTTCGACTGCTTGTTCGTGTCGCTGGACAGGGACTCTGCGATTTTTCTTGCCATGCCAACCTGCTCTTCGACGGTGGGGTAGGTGCAATTTTCGTCCACGTAGAAGGAGGATGAAGTGAAAACTTTTTCTGCAGGAAATAATTTATGCCTCAATTAGCGAGGAAAAATCGTGCGAGAGCCCGCAGAGACAAGGGACCCCCTCCTGTGAAAGTTATAAAAATAATTGAGACGCATCCGAGTGGAAACTAACGCTTAGGAAAAAAAGTACGTGAGGCCTTTTAGGCTCAGACTCTAGCATAGATTCGTTTCGTACTTTTGCTCAGAATCGGTGCCATTATATCGTCGATTTCCTTCTGTTGCTCTTCGGATAGCGGTTTATAGTATCGTTCTTTGATGGGTTTCCCGGTTGGACTAACGAAGATCGTTTCGTCCAAGGTCGACTGCGGTCCACACGAGATGCTCAGAGGTCCAGTCGTTGAAGTCGTGCTCGACATCTAGGAAAAAGAAGAGGATCAAATTGTCGTTCAATTTCAACCGAGGATCTCCAAAACGGCTTCATTCCAAAACTCAACATCAGATCTCACGAGTCCTGAAACTTGAAACAATGTTAGCGTCAGATTCCATAGCGATTTCTGAAACGTCAGATCGGAAGCTCTGACTAGCTCCTTGTTTAGTTCTTTAGTAACATCCTCATGGCGGTATATTTCCGCCGCTTCCCGCTACTCCAGAACTCAGAAAGATACACGGCGCCGCTCGACATACATACTTCTACCAATGCCACCCACATTGGGTAGCGTTAGCGGGCCTCGATAAGGCCAAGGCTGACCGACTAAATTCTTCCACTGGTAAGCCATCCGAGCTATACGAAGCGTTTCTCTGCTCTAGACAATTATCGACACGATTGTTTTCCAAGGAATTTTTATTATGTCAAAATTATTGAAACGCTACAGGCTCCTGAAACGATCAGCCTGTCAGTAGCGTCTGTTTCTGGTGGAACTGCTCTCGTAGGAATGCTTGCTCTCGGACTCGCTCTTCTGGAAAACAAGAAATGCGCGGTCAGGAGAAAATGGTCCCGGTCGGAAACGATTCCTCACATCCACATAGGAACTCCTCTTTCAAATCCGAGACGCTCAGGTCCTGAAACTGTCTGCGCTCTGATGCCGATACAGCATCTGGAAGTTCTGATCTAATGGAGTTGATTGATGTTCTACGCACCCTGGATACATCATGGCTCGAAGAAGTAGACGACGTCGAGGCAAGAGAGTTGTGCGGATACGAGCTTGTGTAACTGAGTCCTCGCGCAGCCTCGAACCGCGGCGAAATAACCGCTGCCGTTATGTCGCGGTCCATCTGCCGACGGGCCCTATTAAAATCCCTCTGCACTTCCGCCGCAAAATCGTCATGGCGCGATAGCAGCGGATCGATATGCGCTCTGCGTGTGAGCTGGGTGTGCGGTACGAGCGGCATTGTCTGCAAGCGAACATTATCTGTATATGATGCTCTCAACTGCCGTGTTATTACTTATCCGGCCAAGGGGGGATGGGGGCATGTCTGAGGCCTCATCTCGATATCAGCGAGGGTTCTCGCGGATCGAGACGCGCCAAACGATACGAACGAGAACGAGCCTCTAGAGTTTTATCGTCGTGAAAACATGCAAACGGAATATTACTTACTCGTTCGTTGAAGAGCACGGGCCTGTCTGACTGAGCTGGCCGAGGCCTTGTTCAAGAGAAGAAATACGCCTGGGCGAGAGCGCGGACGTGCTGAATCACCCAGGAAAAATTCTCGTTCATGTTCTCTAGCGCCGAAGCTTTCTCGTTGCACAGCTGAGTAGGCCAGTGGCATCCGTTTCTGACTTCAAGGCTCGGAACGAATTCGCCGGCCTGGATCGACTCGGCTGGTGATTCGAATTCGATTCAGTGTCGCAACTATTTATTACCCAAGTTGGCCAACGATCAGCTCGGGCTCATTGTTGTGAATAGAGAGCGGGATGCGGATCTCGGTGAGCCTGCGGTCCGCTTTTACATTTCCGCTGAGCATAGATTGTTTACCATTCGGCGAATCAGGGCCGAGTACGGAGAATCGCGCACTCTCGACGGGAACGAGAACGCTCTAGCGCAGCCCAAGCGGGAAGAGTCAATTAGACTTTTCCCAGACCGGTACTCTGGAGAAACTACGCAAAATTTCTCAAGAAAAATCATTCGGAGCTTCTCACGCTATCAGCGAAGTTCGCGCCAACCGTCAAGGAAATCGCTGGAACCGACGCCGGAACCCGCGTAGGAGGTCTTGCTCCCAGCACGATAGCGCACCCTCGAATAATTACATGCCATCCGCTCGAAATTTCGAGGAGGATTCCTTCCGAGTATATTGTTGGACTGTCCAGTCCTACGCCGTGTGAACGACTGCTACATTCCCGGAAACACGGGTTCTGACCTCTAATCCGAGTAGTTTCTTGTCCCGTGTCTGACGGGAAATATCATTTGGGTTCATGTGGGCCTACCTGAGACATGGTCGTGTGGCTTTGGACGTATGCTCCGTCAACTATTTTCGTTTCTCGAGTTTCGAGTCGGTTCACTTCACCGCCGGGGATATTTTCCTTTGATGATTTGGTTTCGCTCTCGAGAATTCGTTCCATTCCAGCGAAGGGGTTCGAGGCGTTGGTCGCGTTTGAATTGAAATCTGATCCTGAATTTGATTCATTCCATCATTATCCCCCTCACTATCGATGTGTAATTTCTCCGATACAGAACTATAATATACTTTATTATTATTATATCGTACGGGGGGCGATCAGATGCGGCATCGAATACCAAGAAACAGGGTGGGCGTGAAAATCCACCTACCGAGATCGAATTTCGCTCCGGATATATTGACGGTCGTAGAGCCTTCGTTGATTTTTCGTTCGGTTTTGATATCCATGGCTGAGGAGTGGCTCGATGATTGCGTTTGGGATAGAGTTTCGCGGCCGACGGTGCTCTCTACTGAGCCTCCGGTTTGTTGATTTCTCGGAGTACCGGTGCCAACGGGACTCGAATACGTTTTCAGAAGGGCGGCATCGATCGATGCGGATACATTGTGATTTTCGCGGTCAGTCGACTCTTGGAATGGAGAATGGCTGGAAGTGATCGATGAGGCGCCGGCTGCCGTAGCGGCGCGGCTCGAGTCCGTAGTTATTGATTCGGCTATCGGCGGCGGATTTCCCGACCTGGAAATGAATGCGTAATGACGTTACAGTCACTGAAAAACGCTACCCTTCCATGGAGCTCTACGGGGGACCACATCGTAAAAGGGGAGAGTTCGGACAGATGGGAGCCATCTACCCCGGAGCATCGCTTTCATTCCAGTCACGTCAACGGAAGCGGAGATCTTCCTCGACGCTTTGGGAATTGTGTATCCAAGCGTGAGCTAGCATGAGACTGGCGAACCTTCCGGAGAGTCCTGACTTACACCCAAAGCCGGAACAATGTTCGCGCTATGAGCGGCTTGGCCCCGTGGCCTATGTTCCCCGCGCTTAAGTCTCAAAACAAGAACGAGTCTGTCTACGCGCCTTGTGAGTGTGCGTTTAAGCAAGCGTGTGTGCGGCTGAGCGACCGACCATCAAGCTAGTTGGCCGAATGGTAGAGACACCGGCAGCAAGAGGAAAAAAGGGAGTCGTCTCGGTGGACGAAACTGACCCAATGAAGGAAATGATACCATTGGAGTAATTCCGAATGTGACCGCTGGTGGGCAATCGAGACCGCAACGTGCTGACTTCCCAAAATATCCCCCGTCTTATAAGCTTCATGTAAGGGACGATGTTCAAAAACAGGGATTTTCTTCTCTACTAGAAGATTTCTTCTCACTAAAACACTGAGACAGCGGGAAAAGCTAGTACCATCCTAGAATGAGGATTTCATCCATAAAGAATCCCGTTTCATTCTGAGACCTGTTTCTAGAGGTCCCAGCCGCTCCCGAGCAACGAAACCGCGATAAGAAACCTGGCCTGCGGATCTACCTATCTCTGAAAACCTCCCGTAAGCTCGAAGACGAGGCACTGCGCGCAATTTGTTCAATGATGTTCAATCTCGCATGCACAATGCGTACATGTGGATACACCTAGGTGGACGGCTTCGTTATGATTCATATCAGGTCTTGCACCTATATCACGCGTTAGCCGTACAGATGCAAAAGCTCTCTGTCGCCAGCCTTCAGGCAATTGCCGAAGTCCGGTCATTTGAGGTAACAGCGATGAATCGAACGACACCCCATGAAGGAAATTGCGAGAGTATCCCTCAGTGGGCACTCCCGATATCTCCGACCACGAAAGGAACTGCCCTCGATGCCGAAGTCTAAAAACGCGATTTCTCGTACTCGGACGAAATGATCTGTGTATTGCCGGAATACTCCAAGCGAATGCTCAATCCAACAATAAGATTCTGATCTATCATGCATATGCGTGGGAACGATCGGATCGACATGCGGTGAGCATGGCATGCAGTGCAGGTTCTTACCTTCTCAGAGAAAGATCGAGCTGATCCGCGTGCGAGTCCACTAATGCCATCGCTTCATCATGACTGAGACCTTCCACACTTTTCCCACCTATACTCAGGATCTCGTCTCCTTCAACCAGGTGGCCGTAAGACTTGCTCTTGCGCCTCACCTAAACAGAGAACAAGAGCTCAGTTGTCTCGACACAGTCGCGGGCACATCAGATCTCTCCCTTTTCGACGGAGGAATTTCAACTCCATGCATTCGACTCCCCGACCGACAGCATCGAGCCTGCGGCGTATCCTCGCGATGCGTAACGTCGCAAGCGATGGAAGTTTCCACGTTGTAAGAGGTCGAGTCCTCCCCGCGGTGGTTTATACTTTTGGGAGGAGATTTGTTCGAAATCTTCCGGGGAGATTGAACCCGGAAAAGCATCTGCCTCGCGCTTCCTAGACCTGCTCACACTTTGGGAAGCGGCATTTTCCTCTAAAAACCAACGCCCGTGAACAGCGATACCGCTTGTGAACTCCCACGGTCGATAGGGGCCGTAGTTTATGGCAGCCCGCAATTTAGGGGCACACAGCGCTCGGTGCTCCCGCTAGGAATTGTCGCACCCGAGACCTCACGATCTCCACTCTCGAGCCTCAGGAGAATGTGGGAGTCGGTGTAAGATCCGTCGCGTGGGAGACTCCCGCAAGGGATCCAAAGGAACGCGGTCAGAGGCAACCATCTCGAACTTAAGGAACACGCTCGGATATTCTACGAGTCCCAGGTACTTTGGACGTTCCCAGTCTGGAGATTCAAGCATTACCACTCCCAAGGTTTCTGCAACTTGCTGCGTTTGCTTTGAACTCATCAATCATCACAGGTTCTCACGTCGGAAACACCCACAGACTTCACTTCTCCGGCTGAGAAATGCGGAAATGTTTGCATAGCCTGACTGACTTTCGTCGTCGAAGTCGAGCCCGGTGTCGCACAATCTATCGAGCACTCGTTCATTCAAGCTTACTTTCGCCACCGTGAGGGGAATACTCTGCCCACGTCCGCCGTGGAGCCGGAAACCCCAAGGAGGTCCTCCCGTTAGCTGAATCGTTACCGCAGCCATTCCGAAGCGGGCACCGCGCGGACACCGGTTTCGAGCTGGAAAATGTCGGCGACTGGCGAGGAGGTCAACTCTCAGACTCGGAATAGGTGGAGTGATTTCCATCGGCGGAAGCTCGACCTCCCTACCGATTTTGCTTCGTTGCGGTCCACGCCGCACGAGATTTTCCTAGAAGTGATATTTTCAACGAGTGTCCGAGGAAATTCAGATTCTTCAATTTCAATTCCTGATGACTTTCCAGCGAATCTGGCGAGAACTCCGTGCTCGAACGCCGCACCCAGTCTAGAGCGCTGGGTCAGGCCTGGCAAGCGACCCTGTTTAGTGCCGAGTCGGTTGAGGCTAAGACTCGGGGACTGGCAGCCCCGCGGCAGCCAGCTCCGAAACCAACAACTCTCCGATCTGAAAGGAATCATTGGCGAGCCTGATCTTCATCTCACCAGCAGAACCCATCTCTACTATCAAAGGTCGCGCGCTGGTTGCGCGAATTTTTTAATTCTTTCACCAGGCGGGCGTCTGTGAGCAAAACTGTCTGCGGTGAGTCAGTCGACATGGCTGGAATCGGTAGCGGGGAATACAAAAAACTGTTTCTCGAATATCGTCCCGCCATCCCGTGGCAGTGAATTGAATGAGAAGCAGAAATAAGGGACCGGGGGCTTCGCTGGATGAGGTTTTGATGCGGTCAGAGAACAAAAGCAGCCCAGCACCGCGCAAACCTGTCCTATACGACGGGTCAAAGGGGGGTTGCGGTCACAATATGCAGGTGAAGAACAATGGAAAGATGCTAGGCAGAGGGGTTCAACAGAGGGGCGGGGCGGTCTTCGTGAAAAAAGGAAACTGAGTGAGTGGATCATGGAAATGGGCAGCCTGACTCAGGGCTTTTCCCTGGGGTATTTTCCTGAGGGTCGTGAGAATACTGGTGAATTCCACTCGTTTATTCGGAACGTGCTCGAGGCAGTACGCTCGGGAGCCTCTGCTGGAGTCATAAAAAACGCAACGATGCAATGCAGGCCTCTGTGAGGCATCAGCGATTCAGTGAGCTCGGAGGAGCCTTGCTCGCAGCCTCGTCATGAGCCTAATTGATTGTCCGATAGCAGACCAATCTCCTCGACAAATGAAGTAATCTGAGCCGCCGTGACTCGCTTCATCGCCTCGTGGATAATCGGCAAAAAAGTGAATTGGTTCACGGCTGACAATGAGCATGTCCAATCGTGAATTGGATCCATAGATTGTTTGGGAGAGATAAATAATAATCGACGCGAAGATTGCGCCGATGAAAGCAATTTATCGCTTACGAGGTTAGCCTGCATAATCCATGCAGAATTTCGCCGATTGCTTTGTGTGAATTATACTTGCACTCGATTACTCAACGGTCCTGGAGACATTCGCCGCACGGAGGTCTGGGCCAGGGGTGATCTACGAGCCGCAATTAGGAGGATCATTAGGCGGATCCACCTGACCTATTTCTACTCCGGCCGCGTGTTGCTCTACCCGATGCTCGGAACCTCTGCAAGATCCGATGCGATGCTTCTGGTGTTTGCCGAGGCTGCGTCGATAGAGCGATGGATTTCGGCGCGGCGTAAAACAGCTCCACTCCGGTGAGATACATCGAGAATCTCAAACTCCGGAGAAACTCCGAAAACTCGAGAAATTTCCTCGACCTCGTTGCTCTACGTCCTTAACAAAGGTAAGCAGCTGTGGAGTGGGCCCGCTTCCCCCGGAAACTGTGACTACCTTGTTCGATTCAATCGTTCCGTGTCAATCGAAGAACTCCGTGATTCGGTTCCAAATCCGCGTACCTAACCCTCAAGTTTTTCGGATCGAGTGCAACCCGATCATTCCCGTTCCTCACAACCGAAATCTTGAACTGGCTGAGTACCATCGGTTTCCTCGAATCCCATCAGCTCTACCGGCTCTTCCCACGCTCGAGCATAGGGTCGACTTGTTGCACCTGGCTTGGTCAGCGCAAAAAATCTCCGATGTCTGCGAGAGGGAGGGAATTCCGGGAACAAATCAAAATTCCCGAAAGCTGAAATCATTTTTTATTTGGGAATAAAACTTTTCCATCCTCATCACGGCGTTTTGCTCCATGCGTTGACCACGCCTCCAGCTAACTGAACTCTTATATATTACAAAATTTGGGGAAGGCCAGCGGCAACAGCCCGAATCTCAACAGGAACCAGCCAGGAGTTGAGCGCGACTTTTCTATCGATTGCTAGATCAGCGTAGTCGATGAATGGTTCGGTTATTTCGAATGATCGGACGTCGATCAGTACAATGTCTGGCATGATATTTCACCACACGAGGACACTCCTCGCTAAAATTTGGATACCATCAGATTCTGGGATAGAGGGATGGGATTTCTGCCGACGAGTCAAATCGTTCGCAGGGCTCAGGTCGCCGAGGACTCCCGGTTCCTCTCTCTCACAAAAATTTCACGATTCGCGTTCGGATCATACACCGAGGATGAGATTATCGAGTTTCAGGCACGAGATGCGTTTGAGCCAATTGAGGAGACTATCGGTGGAGAATTCCTGCGAAGGAGAAGGATATACCACTGTGAATTATGTACACTGTAACTATGTCTATCGCGAATGCAAGCCCACCCTTTTCCCCTTCATAGCTGAAAAGTCTTCGGAGTTTAATTGAATTGATCTCGATTCGAGCGTTCCCGCAAGATGCAGAGCGAGGAAACTTATCAAGGACATGATAACACGGTGAGGAAGCTCGCGTCACCTCGTTCAGCAGCGGCAGCCGACGTCCATATCGAAGGTATAATTGAGAGACGAGCTCCAGCGGGAACAGTACGAATCCTTCGTTGATAATGCTGGCTATTTGTTGCCGTATGACGTCGATTTCTGGCCCAAGAGCTGCATGAAACCTGGGGAATCGAATTCATCCTTAAATCCAGCTGTCGATATCAGTGTCCCCGATTCCGTTGTCTAGACTCTCGGGAGCAGAATCGCGTCAAGGACTTTCTTCACTCACGCCTCGGCTTGTTCCAAGTCACTCGAATCGGATTCATCCCTAGCTAAGCCGTTCTCCTTGATGATCATGGGTAACTTCAGCTCTTCCAGGTTTTCTCCAACGCCCACGGCTGGGACTAGATCTTCATCGGAACTTGTGATCGACTCGATGGATTCACGCTTCACCGAGGGAGAGTTGAGTGTCTCGCCATCCAGAGAAACACCCAAGGCTGCAAATATTCCGAGCGTATTAGAGGGACTCAGGGAAATCTTCTTTGTTTACTCATCGAGCAATGCGGAGAATAATATACGATGCGAGAGAAAAGTGAGCCCGTCATCAGGTCCAGTTGCGCGCTTCGTAGTTTTTCCCCTCACCGGAGTCTTCGTAGGTCGAATTTAGCGAGATCTTGACTGAGGTTCGACTCGTCGTTTCAGTGGGTTCCGGTTTCGTTTGCAAGATGGTCTCAAGTCCTTTGTACAGAGACATTCGAGCTCCCGCGTCGACTCTTTGGAGTCTGTCGACGCTGTGGGGGCGGTGCAAGACCCAATTACGTTTTTGATCCATCTGGAAGGGAGGAATGAATCTGTCTGATAGAGCATGGAGAAGGTCATTGGGCAGGAGCGATACAAAATTCGCAATTTTCCGCATGATGCGCTGGATGATGCAGCAAGCGAGAATATGGCCTCTTGACCAAGTTGAGACCGTGGCAATTTGCGAGCGAGTATCGAACAGGGATCGGTGAGAAAGCCTCACGATATCGACAAGTGGTACATGATTTCTGAGCATTGATAGAAACTACGACCGAGTGAAAACTGAGCTCTGAGTCGAGAACAAGGACGTTCGGTTGACGATGAGGTTCGGGACTCGGAACGCATCGAGGAAATATTATGCTTAACGACTGTTGGGAGCGATCGTATCGATTGCTCCCCGAACGAAGAGAGATCGAGGCGAGAAAACCGTTGACTCCTCTCACGAACGAATGGATAGAAGCCGAACTCGAGCCTCCGAGCAGACTTGAAACGATTCCCGTTCACGTGTCAACTTCGTCTTCACCTGTTCCGTAGGGATGGCGATATGTTTGTATTACTGCTCCGGATCGCGCGGGAATTCAGAGCACGTTCGAAGATCGGTACGGTCGCGCGACAGACTTGGTGCACACACAACAACTTGAATCACAAACCACATTCCGAACGAGAATGAATGCGAACGACACGTGTAGGAAAATATTCAGCCCATGCGCCGTATTGAAATGGGATTATACCGCGCGAAAGACACTCTGGCGTCGAGTACACCGGGAAAATCACTAAACTCCACCTCGGCCCGGTTCTTGAAAGCTGGATCGGGTTCCAGTTCACAGCTTGGTGCTCCCGTATTCCACTGCGGGCTCAGCTCCACCATTTCTTCGGAAGGGCTGCCGATGACGGTGGCTGTCGAAATCCAAAAGCTCTCTCCCATGAATGAATCCTGAGATGCCCTTCCTCTCTCGACGATCTCGATGACATGGAGCACAGTCAAAATCTTCGACTGAGGATAAGGATGCGGCTCTATTGTGGATTGTGACTCAAAAAACGAATCCGTCGATGTTCTGGATTTGCGATGTGCTCCGATAGGAATTCGAGATGACTCGGGGTGGCTTGCTTCTTGATCGATTAGAAGAACATCGTAGGCGGAACCTGCACTCGAGCGAAGCTCTCGATTGCTAGGAGTAGTGCACCAGAGTATTACTGGCTTGAGAGTCTCCTGCGCCTCAATTCAAACCGAATCGTCCAGCCCGGCTCCACACGAGACTTCATGGGCATCGGTGGGCATCTGATCAGCTGTCTAAATTCTAGGATGTCAGATATCACCGCGCTCCCGATGACTTGAGGCGGAAGCCATAAACACGTTGATTCGATTCACGACGCCATGCGCGGCGGGTGACCCGCGGGCCGCCGGCCGCTAGCTGTCTCACCGGCCTCCGATGTTATGGCTCCGAAAATAGATTCGCTCATGGGAGGGGCGACGATCCGTGAGCTCAACTCTGACGGGAAGAAAATAGTCGATTGGAGCGTCTCCGTTCAGGTGCGCTGGAGCGGTTTTCCTGGGGGAAGGAATGTTTGCCCCGTCTGTATCGCAAAGACCCGGAATTTTCCACCTTGAAAATTTTTACCTCTCGAATATGCAAAAAGACCCTACCCCCCCCCTACCCCATCGTGCTGGATGTAGATCGCCCGTTCATTGAAGTCAGATATTGATGTTTTCATGATGTGCATATGAGAAGATCAAATAAATCCAAATGTTAGTCCGTCCGCTCTCATATCTCGATCGACATTGACGGGATATATCGCTGCTTCTCGTCATATTTTGAATTGAGGTCCGTATAAAGAGTGCTCGAGCCGAAATTCGGTCATTGCAATTAACATAACGCCCTTTATTCTCGTTTCGTATATTACACCTTTGAACGTGTAAATATAAGATCCAGTCATAATAATTTTTTTTTGCGCCACGAAACGGGGTCGCCCACGCCCATGCGTTCCGCGACTGTAGTTGGAAAAGACTGAATCCGTGAAACCATTTTGAGAAGGAACAATGTATCGCCTGTTTTCAACCTAAAATTTCACTGTCGAAGGGTCCCTCTACTGAACGGTTTGACCTTCAACATCCAGTCCATCATATAAATTCTCGTTCTCAGACATTATTGAATGCGTACGTCGCCACTGCTGCTTTCTACTGCGGTCCTCCCTGTAGCCAGCTCCACTGCAACGAGGAAAACACACAGAGTTAGACCAACGAAGCGAAGCGCGAGGATGTTCCGAACTTGTTACATGGCGAACAGCACAATGTGAAACATCGACGAACCTTGCTCGCGTTGTAGTTGGGTATAGTTGGCTTGTGGTTGGAGTGGGGAGGCGGATGCTGCGTCTGCTGTTGGTGCAACGGCGGCGCCTGAGAGTGCTGCGCACTCCAAGGATCCCCTCCGAACATGTAACCTCCTTGTCCAGCCGCCAATCCGCCATTGTGGTTTGGCAAAATACTGCCCAGGCCTCCCGAGGTCCCAAGACCGCCGCTCATGGGGTGGCCAAGGTGGTGATACATGTCCGGCTGCTGTTGCAAGCCGGCCGCCGCTGCTGCCGCCGCCGCCGCCGCTGCCAACGGATTCATGAGTGATTCGTTCGGAATCGAATGCGAGGACACGCCACCGCTCAGAGATCTGAGCAGGTACTCTCCACCGGCGTTCAACGGATCGAAACTCCCCCCGGCATTGGGATACCAGTGGCGATCGCTGTCGGACATGGGTGGGAGATTGCCTTGCATACTCCACATCTGGTTCGATGGCATCGCAGACGTTTTTCGCTGCTGAGCGCGTTCCGTACCTGGCCGAAGAAAACGATCGAGTTAGCTGGGAATTCGTCGTCGACGGGGCGAGTCGATTCGGGGGAACTCGGCTCGATAACTTTGATGATTTATCTTCGAAATTAACGAGGTCCTCTTTCTTCGTGCAGGAGGTAGACGGGGAAACGCAGAAGTGAAAACTCGGACACCAAAGACTGCGAGAGATCGTGATATATATCCGGCAAAGCGACTGAGAGCGGTGCGCTCGACTTACCGATTGGTAGGGGATGAAGTTGGCGATCGAGATGGTGCTGTTGGCTTAGGGAAGCCGATGGTCCGTTCAAAGCAGCCGTGGACGTTGAAAGATGGTTTGCGGCTCCATTCATGTCTTGATGGGAACTTTGATGGGAGTGGTAGCCCATTTGGTTGGCGAGGTTGTTCAGGGTTGTCATGTGAGACGGCTGGTGGTGATGCGGGTGGATATTATTATTCGAGTACATCGAGGTTCCAACAACATTACCAAGTCCGGTTCCCACGTCGAGAGTGTGGCTGCTGCTGCCGCTGCTGCTGCTCTCTAGAGGGCCGCCGTATTTGTACGCGTTGGAAGCACTGCCTGGAGGTGGGGCAACTCCGAGTTGAGCCGCGACCGCACCAGTAGCTTCACTCAAATCGATGAGGGACTGTATCGAATGACCGTTGATGACACCTGAAGAACCGGTATTCGAGGATCCCGAAAGGCTTAGATTACTGATGTTGTTGTTCTTGATGAGGCTGTTGTTGTTGCTGCTGCTGCTGCCATTGTTGCTGCTACTGCTGTTGTTGCTGCCGCCCAGGTTGCCGCCGACGATGGGGGTGCTACTACCGTTCGAGGAATTACCCATAATGAGATTATTACTCAGATTGTTGTTGCTGGTACTGGTGTTGTTGTTGTTGTTGGCCATGTTGAAGTCGATCGTGATGGCTGGTGTGGGCGAAGAGGGACCGCTCGTCGAACCGAATGGGGGAGTACACGGAGCAGACATCGTGCTCGCAACCACCGAATGCTGTTGTTGGTGTTGCTGCTGCTGGTGGTGTTGCTGATGTTGGAGGTGGCGAAAATTAGTGGGCGATGCATGTACGGAAGTCGACGTGATCGAAGTCGACGCTCGGTTGAAGACTGGTGCTTTGGTGAGCATTTCTTCTTCGCTGCGCGGGGATATCGACGCGGGCGAAGAGACGGCACGGGGCGAGGGCGCTGGAGAATCGCTCGGGACAACGATAACCTGCGAAGACTGCTGAACCGTCGAGCTGTTCATCAGAGAAGGGAAGCGGCGTTCTTGCTGGGAGCCCCCGTTGACGGCCCAGCTCTTGTTGTCGGCCCCGGACCAGACCTGTTGCCAGCGAGCGCCGAGGGGCTGCGGGGTCGGCGAAGCCGAGGGTTGGGATTTCGAAATGGGCTTCGACGTCTCCGCCTGGGATTGAGCAACGATCACGGGCGATGGCGAGGGCGCTTTGTTCTTGACAACGAGTTGTTGTTGTTGAGGCGGTTGTTGGTGGATGTTGGGCGCCGAGGAAGACTTTAGCGACGAGGACGTCGGCGGAGCTACGGGTCCCTGTTGTTGGTTTGCCGAGCTAGCTCCGGAGGTCGAAGACGCCCCTGCCGCCGCTGATGGGTTCGACAGTGTCGAGTGGTCGGGGTTCTTCTTGATTTTGGGCTCCGCCGTCACGGGCGCCGGAGACTGCGACTTGAGAACAGAGTTTACAGGGAGACTCCACGCTGGTTGGGCGGGCGGAGGAGCGGGTTGGACAATGACCTTGGTCTTAGGTGCTGACGACGGAATGGAGTAGGAAGCTTGAGAGGGGGCTATCGACGCCGACGTAACGTTCCCGGATGGGTTCGTCGCTGGAGCTTTAGCACCTCCCCCTCCACCTCCCCCTCCGGCGCTCTTGAGGTGGTTCTGAACGATTTTCTTGGTCGCCGCCGTGGCCAGACCGCACTTGTGCACCACGTCGAGCAGATCGGCGTCGGGGTCGTCGGACAGTCCGGCGATCAGATTCGTTGCTTGTTTGGTGGACTCGGTCGATCCGCGGATGATGACGGTTCGCTCGCAGGGGCCAACTTTGGAGTTCTGTTTCTCAACTTCGATGTAGGCGCCCGAAACCTCTCGGATCGCGTTGATGTTGCATCCTCCGCGACCTATGACTCTCGAGATGGCGGAGGCGGGAACGGCTACTTTCTTGATTCGCCTGGTCACCTCTTTCCAACCTTCCTCTCGGGTTCCCTGGCCGGACGACTGGGACTTCGGAGAGACTCTGTTGCGTTGTCGGTTCACAGATACGGGCTCGAATGGTTGTTCCTCCTTCTGGTGTTGGAGCGGCGGAGCTCCGTTCGAATCGGAAACTCGAAGGTTCTTCTGAACCGATACACTGGCCGGAGGTGGTGGTGCCGTCCCGAAAACGATCGATGCCTGCGATTCCGCGCTCGGATTCGATTTCAGGTTCTGTTGTGCTATAGCTCCGACCGATGGTGCTGGGAACGACTTCTGAACGGGAGTCGGCTCCGCGTTCCGATTCCGCTCGAGCATTTTCCGCTCCTTCCTTCCGGGACGCCCTGCGGGCAGTGGGGTCGACGTTGGTGGTGCTTTCTCAACGACTCGGATGACAGGTGTTGGTGACGGGCTCTTGGGAGGGGTGGGGTTGGCGTGGTTGCTCCTCCGTTGGGGTACAATGCACGTCGGGCTGCCACCGGCGTTGGAGATCTCGTCGATCGTCGGGGGTCGGGTTTCGGTCGGTTGGGGACTGTAGCTGTTGTTTTCTGCGATCGCGTCCTCTTCGTCTTCGTCGTCGTCCTTCGAGGTCGCCTGCTTGGCCTTTTTCTTCTGTCGCTTCTTCTCTCTCCTGCGGGCGGCAGCGGCCTTCCTCTGTTCCTCGCGGGTCTTCTCCTCTTCCAGCGCCTTGAGCAGCGAGTCCGCGTTCCGTTCCGCTTCAAGTTGTTGACGCTCCTTCGCCTGGTGGATGATGTCCATGCACACTTGGCACTTCTTGAGCAGTTCCTTGTCGTTCTGCGTTTGAGTGTAGCGAGTCATCTCCTGGTCGGAGGGAAACTGGGCGACGTGTTTCACCATCCACTTGACGACTTTCTGATGGCCCTTACGGAAGGCTGCCATGAGACAGGAGACTTTTCGGTTGTCGGTCGAATCGATGTCGGCTTTGGCTGCGACCAACTTCTGCACGACGTCCAGGTGTCCACCGTTACACGCTAGCCAAAGAGGCGAGTTGCCCTTCTTGTTGCGAACGTCGACGGACGCTGCGTGCTCGAGGAGAAGTTCGACGAAACGCAAGTGGCCCTTGTCTGCGGCGATGGTGAGCGCCGTATCGCGAGAGGAAGGCACTGGGGGAGCGTTGACGTCCGCTCCTTTCTCCAGCAGGACTTTTCCCACATCGACGTAGCCTCCGGACGCGGCCTCCATCAGCGGAGTCAATCCAGTCTGGTGGGGAAGGAGAAGAGTTAGACCTTTGACACAAGGAAAGGGCGGATTTATGTCCGGGGGAATGCGAAAATTTATATCCGGGAGAATTTATGATCGAATTATGCCAGATGAGTGAAAAAAAAAGAAAGCGGCTCGACACAAGACGTTCGTGATCGATCGGGTCGGCGACGATCTCGGATACGAACCTTAGCGCGGTGTTCTACGTTTGCTTTGCGGTCGAGCAATAGCGACACGACCTCATGACGGCCTTGGAAACACGCAAGGGTGAGAGCGGTATTCCGGTTGGTTTCGATCTGGGCATTGATATCAGAACCCTGGTTGAGGAGCAGACGGACTGCCGATGTGTGACCGTTCATCGCAGCTAGCATCAGCGGGCTGATTCCGAGCTTCGATCCGGTTCGGGAGTTGATCTCAGCTCCATGGTGCAACAAGAGTTCGATGATGTTCACGTAGCCTCCGCTGGCAGCCAGCGAAAGCGGGGTGTAATCACTAACGTTGCGGTGCTCACGGTTGGCTTGATGGTTAAGGAGGATCTCAACGACCTCGAGACGTCCTCCAGAGCAGGCCAATGATAAGGCAGTGTCTTTCGTGCGCTCTGACTGCGCCTCCATCTGGGCGCCGCTGTCCAGGAGAATTTCAACAATAGCTGAGGACGAGAGGCTTTCGTTAGAGCGGAATGTGCGCGACGACCCCCCTCCCCCGAGAGATTGACTCTTGAACTGAGAGGAGATCGATAGGAAGCATTAATCGATCATCGACGATGATCGAGTGATGAAGAATAAATGAGAAATAATTATAATCGGTGATTATCAAGCGGAGGAAAACGCGGATACGCACCAAAATGACCAGCGGTGGCTGCAAGCATCAATGGCGTGAAACCTTTCTTGTCTCGGTGTTCGATGTTCCCACCTTTGTTGAGTAACAACGCAACGAGGTCCTTGTGACCTCCGGTGCATGCGAGGGTGAGTGCCGTATCGTGGTTAGAGTCGGTTTGCCACTCGACATCGATGGCCAATAAATCGCTCGGACTCGGGGCCATCGCAGAAGTCACTTCATCGTCCTGGATGGATTTCGCAAGCGCGCCGTTCGAGGCGCCGCTGCCGCCGGCTTCCGGCTCCTGAGTCACATAATTAGCGGTTCCGCTGACGACGTCACTGACGAGAGAGGTGAGGAAGCCTTGCTTGTTGGTTTTACTACAAGTTTTCTGCACCTGCTCCTGCAGTTCGCGTTCTACCTTATGCAACTCATCCAGAATGTGTTGTTTACTTCGGAGGTGACCTTCATCGCCTGACGCCGATTGAGCGATCATTGAGGTGAAGCATTCGAAACCAGCTCGGAAATCCGCATCCCGATTGAGGTGGTCGGCTACCGCCGTGGTGGTCAAGGCAACGTTGCCGGGAGCCGCGCACGCTGCGGCTGGCGCGGCGCCGGCTGCCGGGGGCGGGATCGCAGCTGCTGAGGTCGCCACCGCCGTCGTCGTCGCAGCTGCTGCTGCCGCCGCTGCCGCAGATGCCGTGGCGTCGTGGGCGAGCTGCTGGTGTTGACAGGCACCTTCGATGATCGAGGTGGGGCCGGTGGCGTGCGACGCGCCGGTGGTGCCGCTCGCCTGGGGCAACATGGGCGGTGGTGGAGGTGGTGGGCTCGAACCTTTCTTTCGGTACTCGAGTAGCAGTTGTACGGTTGCTGCGAAACCCCCCTTGGCCGCTTCGATCAGCATCGAGGAGTTGTCTTTGAGTCGATGCGATGGATTGGCGTTGGCGTCGAGAAGCACCCGGACGACCTCGGTGTGACCGCCGGCGCACGCGAGCGACAGCGCCGTGTGGTCGTTTGACGGCGTCTTCTTGTTCGGGTCGGCACCCTTCGACAGAAGGAACTTCACCGTGCAATCGTTTCCAGCCAACGCGGCCTTCATCAACGGAGTTCGGCCTCCTTCGCTTTCGTGCTCGAGAACAGCTCCCGCCTGCAGCAGAAGATCCGCAACGTCGGTGTGGCCGTTCTCGCACGCGTAACCGAGCGCCGTGTTCCCAGTCTCCGTACAGGCGCTCACGTTGGCACCGGCACCGATCAGGACCCGAACGACTTCGAGATGACCTTCTTGAGCGGCTTCCATCAACGCTGTCGATCCTCCCAGTTCCAGATGAGCTCCGGCCTTGATGAGCAAATCGATCACGCCCAGGTAGCCCCCGCAGCAGGCCAAGATCAACGCCGTCTCCTCGGTGTCGGCCGTTTGAACGTTGACGTCGGCGCCGTGCTTCAACAGCAGAGATACGACATCCTCGTGCCCTTCACGAGCAGCTTCCATGAGAGGCGTGTATCCTTCATCGTTGACTTCTTCGATGTTGGCACCGCGCTCGATCAACAACTGGGCGAGCTTGACATGACCGCCGCACGCCGCGAGGGTCAGAGGACTCTCGAACGAGTCCTGGGGCATGTTGACCTGAGCACCGAAATCGAGCAACAAGCGAGCGACGTCCACGTGGCCGTCCATCGACGCCTCCATGAGAGCCGTGTGCATCTCTTCGGTTTTGTGTTCCTGATCTGCGCCAGCCTCCAGCAAGAAACGGACCTGAACGAAAGGAATCGTGAGCTCTTCCCGATCCGGAGGAATTGAACGGGAAACCTCCCCCTAGAGCGCAAGAATACAATGCGCAAATCCATCCGCGTCTCACGGAGATTCTCCGACCGGAAACTCACCATTTCCAGGTGACCCTTATAGCTGGCGAGCGTCAACGCACTCTCCTTGAACTCGTTGGAATGGGAGTTTATCTGAGCGCCGTGTGCGACCAGCAGTCTCGCTACCCCGACTTTGCCGTCGGAAGCCGCTTCCATCAGAGGGGTATGACCGCTTTCGTTGTGCGTCTCGGGATTGGCACCCGCTTCGAGGAGGACCTGTACAACGTCTTCGAAACCGTTGCAACACGCGAACATCAGCGCGGTGTTATCTGAAACGCCACGGATGTTTTTGAGATTTCAGAACTCGACACGCGGACGCCGGGAAACGATTCACCGACCTCGAGGTTACGGCTCTTCGGGAGCCAGCGCGAGGACACTGAGAGATAAATCGCGGAGGTCGCGAAAGAGCGAAGTCGGGACTTACTTTGGTTCGTCTTGGCATTAACATCGGCACCGTGCGCCAAGAGCAACCTCACAATTTCACAATGCCCCGAATTGGCTGCTTCCATCAGAGGCGTAGTGTCTTTCATTCCGGTTTCTTCAATGTTCGCTCGCATCACCAACAACAACTGCGCCAATTCGTAATATCCTGACGCACAAGCTAAGCTGAGAAGAGATTCGCCCTGCTCCGTGATTTGATTCACATCTCGACCCATATCCAATAGTCGCTTGACCGCCATCGTATCTCCGCCCATGCATGCGTGCACCAAGCTCCGCGAAGGACTCGACGGTGTTGCTGAAGTGCAAGGTTTAGAACAGTTAGGAATCGAAAACATCTACCTACCCTGCTTCAAAATTCAGACCCAAGCACTCTTCGGCTGCCATCCGTCCCATTCGCACTCCCCACGCAGTTCGAGCGACGGAGCCGGTTCACCGCTCTCAAGAATGCCGGCTCTTTTCTCTTCGCTCTCTCGTTCAGTCTCTCTCTTTTTTTTTCAATTTTGATCAGGGTTTATTCCGCTAATTGCTCGTATTCGACCTCTATCGTAGATGTCGTTTAAAGTAAGGAGTAAGGTATGGGGAGATTAAGATATGATGGATATGATGACAAAAAAACCAAGATTGAGAAAGAGACGTGCCACGCTGGACGTCTCGCGGTATGAGTGATTTTTTTTCCGTGATGCTCCGCGAGCATCTTTTTCTGCTTTTCGCGTTTTTTGTTTTTTTTGTTTTTTTTTGGGGTATTCTCCGCTCGCGTTCCTTCCCGTATTCGTTCGACCTCCCGCTTCCCGCCCGTGTATAGCCCTAGGGGAGCATTGGGCGCTCGGTTATACGAGTATATCTTCGTCGTCTCGATACGCAACTTGTTTGACTATGGCTGCTTTGAGGGCTACTCGATGACGTCTGCTGCAGTGGAGATGAGGGCTGAGACGGGATTCCTGGGGCTGAGCTCGCCTCGACCGCGCGGGAGGCAGCTGCGGCAGCTGCACCACTCGGACCGTTTTGCGACGGCTGTGGCTGCGGCTGTTGGTGCTGAGGATGTTGCTGCTGCTGCTGTTGGTGCCCAGATTGGGCCTGTTCAGCTTTCATCCGGGACAGTGCAGCTGCGGCCTCGTCCAAGGCCGAACTGACGGTGGTTGTGAGCTTCCGGAGAACCTCAGGATCATTGAACTGAAATCGAACAGGTCGAGTCATTCCGGGGATCGTTCGAAGGACGGAATATATCAATAGACAAGGCGACAAGAGCCAGAGCTCTCCCGTAAGGGATTCCTGGATGGATCCGACGATTCCTGCATGGGATCTCAGCTCGAATGCTCGTCCGCAAGAGACGCTTACCTGTTTAGCTTCCAAAGAGAACTTTGATAATCCTGTTGCGCTCAGGAGGACCTCGAGACGCGCCTGCGTGTCAGGGTCCATGCTGACGGGAGGTAACTCATCGTTTAGAGATGAGGAAGATTCCGAGAGAAGGAACTTGGGAGGAATACTGATGGGGATCGTGTCTGCGGAGCTGACGTCTCCCTGCAATTGACCAAAACACGATTCCATGAAGAATTTTCTGCCTCCGCATTCAAAGCTATCTCAATACTTCCGCCTTGGTGTTTCGGCCAGATCACACTTCGACCGACTCGATGTCACGTGCGCTGTACTCAGAAACACTTCCTCCAAAGTGTCGCCCACAGCGCTTCGATCAGAACTCATCAACATGGAGAGATATCGGGATCGGAGCCGTCGCTTCTGGCGTGAATGCTTCGCAGGATCGTCATCCGACGATTCCGAGGAGTGTGAAACGCTCCTTCTTTCGAATGCTGCTAACTCGCTCGTTTCCTCATCGACATTCTGATTGACTGTCAAAACAGACGAAAGCGATCGACTTGCACAAGGGAGCTCGATCTTCGATTGATGGACGGGCAGACAAACTAACTGATCGTTCCGATGCGACATGGATCTTCCGAACTATAAAACTTTGTCGATGCTCATTCCATTGAGCGAGGCTGGCCCATCGATGTCAAATTATTCGATCCTGGTTTGCTCGTTTGCCCGCACGTCTGTCCGTCTTCGCTGCAGTCGACTAACCGACTGACTGACGGACAAAGTGGCTGTGTGGATGGATGCTCAGGAAGAAAACTCAAAGAACCGACTGACTCTATGTGTAGGCACCTGCAGTGGCTCCGACAATGTTCCGCAGGTTCTCACCCGTTTCATCATTGATTGCCAAACCAATTGACTGGCTGGCTGGCTTGCTGCTTGGATAGCAAATACTAGGCCTCAGGTCCGCTCAATGATCGTTCGCAGAACGAACGTATAGTTTGGACGCACGCGGTAAGACTCACAACGACTTTCCTAGAAGAATCACGGGCATGTTGAACACCGGATCTCGAGACGAATCGATATACGATGATCGTCAGTTCTCCAGACGGGGAACATGAGAGATTCTACAGCATGAGAGATCGGAGGGAGTCACTTGCCAAGACCGGACGATTCGAGGCATACGCAGGCATCCGGTGAAGGGATCATGGGAAAAAATCACAAACGAATAGGAATCCAGGGGCCTGAATTATAGGTGAATTTTATTCGCGAATAGATGATCACTGGGATCAAATTCCCGTCGTCTCATTTCCCAGGGCGCGGAGGAAATGAAAAAAGGAGCGATCACCATGCAATCCAAGCGTGGGTAAGATTCCAGTGTATTTGTCTGTGCGTTTGTGACGTTAGGATGTCGTTGGCGGCGAGCGGGTCGGATGGAATCCATTGATAGAAGTAGGTTACTCCAGCAGCGGCAAACTTCACCTCTTCGCGGGAATGTTTCCGGCGTCAATACTCATTCAGCCCAGACAAGCTTCCACCCGAATGATCGTTTCAAGCCAAAACATGGCCAGAGTGGCTTTCGACTGACCGGCGGCCGACATTCCGCGAAGGATGACTCTGATTCCTTGACGAATTATACGCAAGTTACAGGGTTGTTTGGTCTTCCCAATCCGTAGCACCGATCGAGTCAGAAGAAGTCATCGGTTTCCTGACATTCACTTGGAATTTATTCGAGAAGAGCAGGTGCGAACCGCGCAGATGACTCCGAATGAATTGCTGTCGGGGCGATCAAGAAAGCGACCGACCGAACGAGGATCGTAGCGAAACTCGCGCACGGGTTCAACAGGCAATCAAAGAGCCAAGATCGATCCGATCGGGACAAGTGTAACTCAATTCATCACTGTCAATCAGATCGATATTTAGAGAGAACGCCGCGCGACCGGCAATCATCTCCTCGAGGAGAAAAACAACTCTCCGCGCGCGACAACAACATCCATTCCACTATAGACACCGGTCGCGCCATCAGGGGGGCCTCTAGCCGCGATGCTTCCGAGATATTTACAAACGGTGGTTCCATGCCTCGGAGATGAATGAATATTTTCGATATCACTCATATGACACTTTTCGAAGCCCTAGAGCAAACGAGATTCGTCTCTACCGAACGATCAACCATGCTGGATACAGAGCCAGACAATTTTCTTCTGGTCGACGACTATTGAATAGGAACAGCTCCAGAAAGTGGCTGAGCATCGTTAAAGTTCTTCACAGCTTCCTTTACGATTTCGATCGGAGCCAAATCCGTTCGATAGCAGAAAACAAGGTACATACGCGAGGAGCCTCGAGAGCAGCCTTCATCGTATCCAGAACGTATGTAACGGGCCGGAATTCTGCGGAACAGAGCCGCGACAACGTGAGGATTCCGTGGTCGATAATGAGGGATCGGAGCATTCGATCCTTCGGAGAATCGCAACGCTCCCCTTTCGACGTCTTTCTTTCACTCCGAAGAACGTTCGCAAGAAGTTCGGATCGTGTCTGCCATCAGTGCTGGTTAGTCACAACGACCGAGGGATTTTTCGACATCGAGAGGAAAATTTCCAAACGGAACACTCCGACCACCCTTCGGTCGGAGTGCGGATGAACGATTCTGGAAAATGGGTTTTCGTCAACTACAACTCAATGCATTCGTGTGTTCGTGACGCAGAATTATACGAGCGCAGGAAACGAATACTGACGCGCGCCGTCTGCCTGATCCGTTCGCCCGACTAGCAAGCGACCCGTCGGTCAACGGAAGCGTAAACCACCAAACTCAAAATTCCCCACTAGTCTGTACAATTGACGATCAGATGCCAGCAACCCGAGCCGGAGAATCAAAATGATAGTACGGAGCGCGATCGAGTCTCGAGTCGGCGTTCGCCAGCGGCATGCTTGCACGCCACGACTCCACATCAGCAGTAGCTCGCGCTCGCAAACCCAAGCGTCGATTCCGGAGCTCGCGGCGGCTGGCAGAGATGTCGGTGGGGACTGCCGGATGACATTCCAGATCTTTAAACATCCCGGTTCCGGTGTGCCGCCGCGTGCGTAACTGTAATTGATATGAAACGAGCGAGAACCTCTTCGTTCGCTGGCACGCCGAGCATCGTTTATCGAGACTTCGGGAGAAACGAGCTCCCTCTCGATGATGAGAAAAATATCCCACAAGATACTTGGCAGCGGCGTTTGGCAACTCCCGCTCACGTTGTCTCATTGGAAAGTCACGCGGACATCTGCAACATTCATGTCTGTCGATGACGATCCATCAACACTGTAAAGCTGCAGCAGGAGGTCAGCCCGCTGTCGAGGCGGTATTCCGAGCACCCCTCGGGGATCTCCGTCGTTTCCCGAGACCAACTCCGTGGGAAGACGGTCCCAAACGAAGTCCTCGACCAACAGCCACACTCTGTTCTATCGAAAAGCGCTTACTAGATCAGCAGCCATTACTGTGGTGCTGCCAATCAAGTTGCCTACAGCAGCGAGCAGCGGCTGCTGCTGCTGCTGCTGCCGCAGCATCACGACTGTCGTTGGTTGCTGGGGCCAAGGCGTTTTGACAAAAGCCAGAACCTTCCGGCGCCTAGTTTCCAGGAGCCGAGTCCAATGACGCCGTTCGAATACGAATATTTTCCTCGACGCGATCGGTAACGGCCTCCAGGACTTCAGGCCGAGGTGCGTTTCGCTTGATGGTGACTTACATCGCTTTCGTCCTCGGTATCCGAGCTGCCTTCAGCCCAATCCGGATCGTTGATTGCGGGTTCTTGCATTGTGAATAGACTATACTCCGAAGGAGACTGTCGCCGACTGATCTTCAGGCGACTAATAAACGAAAATCACTAAAAATATCGCACAAACAATTCTGGCCACACCATGGATAGGGCCGCCATACACGATTTACTCGATGCTAGATGCCCGACCGATCCAAAATATGTTCACGCTTAACACATGCGCTCGCTGTTCCACGCACGGGGCGTTCCGGATTTGGGTCTCTCCTGGGCAAAAGACAAGTCGAGAGGTACGATCGAGTTTCGTAGTGCTGCCAGATTTTTCAATAGCGTCTATCCGGAGCTTAGAGGTTTTCCGGAATCCCTCCGGAACGTGTTGACTAAATACCGAACGAGTTCCCCTAACGCTAAGCAAGCATTCATTCGGACTGCGCAGTTTCTCAGCGGCTCCGCTGGGGGTCTCCACTGGTCGAAGTTCAGTGAACCCTTTTGCAAGTTTTTCTGCGTTTCCGTACGAAGTTACCCTGCCTACTTACTTTGACCGGCGGCGCCTTCGTCAACGTCATCAATCAAAACTTGTTGTAATATAGACTATCCAGACTCTATTGAATGCTATATCGAAAAATCAAACGCTGGCGCGACTCGACAAGCCAAGCTTGATGAAGACGCGCGCGCGACGCTTTCAAAATAATTCATAGGGGTCTTATGATATCGACGAATCTTGTCATATTACATATCGTATGAAGGCTCTGAGAGTTTCTCTGTGGAAATTAGCTGAAAACATTGTTAAATGAGGGAAAATCCCCGAAGTTGGGATGACTGTGGTGATCTCCGGCGAGTCTCTGCGAGACGGAATGTTTCCCTTCGAATCAGAGGGCTCCGACAAGGTCATAATCACCCAAGACTTTTATTCAGTTTCGTTCGCGCCAGCGAGAGTCCTTTGCTGCTGACAAATCCCGACATTCCTGCAGGACATCTCGACTTTCGAGCTCCGACAGTCCTACAAACGGACGTTCCGGCCGCACACCCTCAGCCGAACGACACCACCGTATGGGCGGGGAACTTCCTCGATCAGAGAAATTTTACCAGTATACTTCGCTCGATTGAATCATAACTCTCGGAATTATCGCTATCCACCCCATGCTCGATGGGATTCGGACTCCAGCGCGAGCCTTCCGTCGAAAGTTTCCGTCAAGGTCTCCCTTTCCGAATTGCTCACAGCGCCTCTCAAGTGGACATACATAAGTTCGCTCCGCAGGAATCCAATTCCGGGAGCACGTCAGAAATGATTTCTTGACCCACGCCGATCGCGCGATTGCTGAGGGTCGCGTGAGAGCGGTACGTCTGATACGGTACGCATGATTCGCCCGGCAATCGACGATTGATTCTTTCGCTCCGTAGTCTTCAGTGAAAGATGACACAATGGATGATCGGAAACTACCCTTCCCCATAAAGAGGGAGCCTGTAGGGAAATCTTTCCCTTGAGACTCCTTCGTGCTATAACGACATCGATCCTGAAGCATCGGACAACCTAGCCCGTGAATTTTCCACCGTCTATTTCGGGTCCGCGCGTCGAAGACATTGGATACGCGGTACACCGTGCAGAGAATGTAGGAATCCATGGTCATGAGATGAAATGTGTGTACAACTGCTCATTTCCATATGCGGGGTGAAGGATACGGCTCGCTCATCAGGGATCCAGTTATCTTCAGGTGGCTCGCTTACCGCTCTTTCATCCCATAAGCTCCTCAGCCCGCAGGAACTGGAGGTTGCACTACCAGAATCCGCTGTACTCGATGAAGATCTGCCAGTGAGCATAGGACATATGTTTTGATTCGATCAGACGACTGTCGCAGTATCCTGACGGCATCTGCGGACTTTCCATTCGGGAGAGTTCGCCCCAATTTGCGCGCGAGCCCATTCGGGAGCATACGTCTATCCCCTCTTCCCAGACGAGTCCAGATAATTATCCCGATTGAGGAAATAAGATATTTGCCTAAACGACATACGGATACCTCCTGCTGTCGGATCGGCCGCAGCGCAGGTTCATCGCGGTTAAACTGGATTATATTCCGTCCCACGCCGTCAAATCCAGCTTTCCGACGTATGAAGAGCTAGCGCTCTCCGATGGACAGGAGTATGTGCAATCTCCTGGCTTCATACACCTTGCCGCTATACATGAATGATATCTTGCATTTCCAGATGAAGCAGTGGTATTTTTGAACTTTGGCTCGAGTGTGGTACGTCACGCGAGATGAGGATCTAAATTCTGATCCAAGTAGCGCGATGCGGTAGCTCAACCCTCGATCCGAAGTTTCCTCCAATTCAAAGTCTTCGAGAAAACTGCGGTGATTCCAGAGAGTCAATACTAGAATGATGGTGAAATGTATGCCGCGGCCCCTAATTTTGACTGAGAAGGAGTCGAGCGTCAGATTGATGCTCGCGATCGATAGGAGTGCGGCGAAGTGTTACCGGGGCTCTGTGGGAGATATTCCGATTACTCCAGACTCTAGAGAGAATTCCTTCGCAGATGCCCAGAAGACCGAGGGTCAACTTGATGCTCACGACTACTGATCGATCAGATTGTCCCGCCGTGCCCAGATCGCCGACGCTCCTCGTGAACCCTCCTGCGAGGAGACGGCACTGGACAGCGGCGTAGCCTCCCTTGGTGTACCCGGGGCGCATCCCTCGAGCTCCGGGCCCACACCTCGATTCGATGCTCCCTGTTTTTTTTCCCGGAATTATCCATTTCGAATGGATAATTGTACAATCGGCGAGGGGAGTCAAGAAGAGCCTTCATCCAATAGGAGTGAAGTTCAATTCATTGCACTCCTATGCGGCGTTCTAATGCCCCCGACCCCGAAGACCTGATACCCGGGGCGGAGCGCCCTGCTGCACCCTGCGCCCTCCCTCGCTACGCCACCGGTGCTGGAAGTCCATCGGGATTCCGCGCAATGTGGACCAGAAGCAAGGTAGATCCATCAAAGCTTTCGTCGACCAGAACATCATACATTCCGATGTTGTCCGCGTGCTTCACGAGACTTTTCGCAACGGCGGATGCTTTCGAGAGGATTATTTCCCAAGGGGCTCGAGAGGTCTGAGAGGCGACACTCTCTGTGACTCTCTCTGTATGAGTTCTGCCGGGAACCCAGTCCCACTTGCCCAGGATGCAATCCTGGGCGGCCGGCCCCCGATAGGCGCACGGGTCCCTAGCATATCGTGGGACCGAAGTCTATTCCTTTTTCACGTCTTTTTTTTCGTGAGGTAGAGTACAGGATAACGCTTAGCGAGAGGTGGTCCAGGAAGGAGTTCATTGAATGGGTCCCGTCCGAATATCACTGCAACGACGTCAACCAAGGAGCCACAACCGACAATCTTCACTTTCCCGTAATGTGTATTATGCTTGAGGCTTGAGGGTCCAATCCAGAAGCTATCGAGACCGGGATGAACGCGAGAGCCGTCGCATTTCGAAAATCAGATTCACGTTCACCTACGGTGGTCGAGGTGCCACCCCTCTTCTCCCATCGACTTCCGAATTGAGAAAACTCCGATCATCTCCCCCTGTATATATGGTGCTCGCGCGCCGCGCGTTTTCATAGCAGAGCTCGCCGGTACAATCCAACTATGATGGGCAATACCGGAATTTTCGGGTAGATCCCGGCCCAATTGATTCTAAATTCTAACCGGCGGAGGAGGAGGACTTCTATCAATTCACCCGTTCCGTGAATTTTCAAGTGAACTTGGAGATTATGGGCTGGATATCTCTCGGTCTCCGACTCCGGCATACGTCTCCGCTCCACATCGTCTTCGGATGAAGAGAAGTTCGATCGTGCTTCACCTGTAGAGACCTTTGAACTTGAAGGTAGCGGTCGAAATCGAATTTCGAAGGTTGCAGCAGCTGATGAAAAACTGGTTTCTCTGAGTAGCTTGTTCAGTGCGAGTTGCTTGCTGAGAGATTCACCGATAGCGATTAGGAATCATGGGAGCCAAGACATTCCCTTATCCATGTGACATGACGACATGACACACCAGTCTCAATAGAAAATTATACACTGGTGTCGGTGCTTGATTAAACTTTGCTATTGGCATATCATTATCATCTGGGGGTTCAAATGACAACCGGTGGACCATCCATAGTAGTAGAGTACCTTGCCTCAGCCACTGATGCGTTTGTTCTCCAAAGCTATCCATTCTATTCCGAATTCCACTCCTACTTTCAGGATGCTTTCGAGAGCAGCAGCCGCGGTCGCTGTTTCAGCTATAAACATGCGACCACCCGCCCTGACCCTCCTGAGACAAGCTCCGACGAATCCGATCCTTTGTCGAGGGTTTTCCGGACTCCGGCACAACAACTTGCGTCGACCCATCCTTCAACCATTAGATATAAGAATTCCCAGCGAACGTCACATCCATCCCTTCGCAATTATGATCGTGAAGCAGTCCGCGAAGCTGCTTGCCATGTTCGGTGGTCGTCGTTTTCGCTTATGGTGGAAGTCTCTTCCCCCGGACAAGCGACGGCATTTCATGGGAAGAATCCGAGAGCACAAAGCCAAGATCGCTCTGGCCACCGCTGGTTTCGGAGTGGCCTTAGGAGTCTACTACTACACCCATCTGCAGATAACTCCGATCACGGGTCGCGTGAGATTCATAGCATTCAACGAAGAGCAACAGAAGAAGCTGAATGAGGTCACCCGGGACGCACAATACGAATTGGTGAAAGACCATCTCCTGCCTAGCAAGCACCCGCACGTTAAAAGGGTCAGTAGGGTCGCGAGACGACTCCTGGACGCTAACAAGGATATCGAGGAGATTTTTTCGAAGGAATGGTCTGTCTGCGTGATCAATAGCCCGACCGAGAACGCGTTCGTTGGTCCATCGGGACAGATTTGTGTTTTCCTCGGGATGTTGGGCGTTTGCGAAAATGACGATCAGTTGGGTTGTGTTTTAGCGCACGAAATATCTCACGCAGTACTCAACCATGGCGCTGAATTGATGTCGTATACCTCGTTCTTGGACCTTTTTGTCATCATCGGCTTGGCGGCGATCTGGGCCATAATGCCAACCGATATCGTTGCCATAATTACGCACTGGCTATTCAACAAAGTTTGCGCTCTCACTCTGGAGCTGCCCTACTCGCGCCTGATCGAGACCGAGGCGGACTCCGTTGGCCTGGAGCTAGCAGCTAAAGCCTGTTTCGACGTTCGTGAAAGCAGTGCTTTTTGGGCGAAGATGTCTCTCATGAGAGAACTCCAGGGAGAAGAGCCGCTACCAGAATTCTTGTCAACGCACCCGGATAGCGCTAAAAGATCCGAAGCCCTCGACGCGATGATGCACACTGCGTTCAGCACTCGAGTCGATCGCCGATGTCCACCATTGCCTCGCAAGGATCCTCGACTATCCGTCGAAGATCTCAGAAATCAGATAACAGCGCTGAAGAAGTGGCGAGAAGCGAACAGGGAAGGTGTTATTTTAATTCCGGTCAGTCGCCCGTGAAAGCATTAGGTTTCGAATAGAGTTTAGAGGATTTGTTTGGTGAGACGGAGTCGGCGTTCGAAGCTTGATTGGTTGATTCATTCACAAGCCGGAGAGGGGAGCCGATCGAGCCTCGAAAGAACATCAAGCAAGCACAATTGGGCGAATGAAGGAACTTCGACGTGTGGGAATGTCCTCTGGAAACAGATTCTATCGGAATAGATACTGCATGAATGATTCGGATTAGGGATCAACAGATATGTCCGTCGGACTCAGCCGTCGATCGACTCGCTTGTGATATCCCCCGTCCGTGTTCGCCGTTCTTCTGTTTCGGAGATTTTACCGATGGTGAGCAAGCCCTTGACGCTCATGTGACATGCACATAAGCCACTCACTAGGTCGTTTCATGATAATCCTCCAATAAAGTTTGAGGTGCGCACATAGCATTCGCATGTCTTGTTTTTGGACTTACTCGCTTCACGCCGCTTTTCACATCCGCTGACGCGTTCTCCCCCTCCCTCATACACGCGGATCATCCGAGTGCCTCACGGAAACGTTGAAGTCTCCGAGGAATCTCCGGCCCACGCGAGCGGCGCTCTCCGAAGGAGAATCGACGTCCCTCGCTACGAGCCGACTTATCTTCAGTCCTACCAAGGAGGACACCTCGAACTGGCTTTCCGAAACGCTCGACGAGTCGTTCAGATCCTTCATGTCACCTCACGGCGCTTCTCCTGTGATCTTCTTTCCCCATACCCCACCTCAACGTTAATTGACGCGCTACCGTGCCACGTGCCACACGTACCATTGGCTTCTATGAAGACGAGAATCGTCCCTTTTTAGGGAACACCGCTTCCCCAAAAAAGCCAGTAGGCAGTCCGAAGACCATCGAGCGTAGCCATCGAATCGAATCCGATCAGTCTCCGAATCTTGGAAACCTCGAAGGGATCAGGGCGGGCTCAACTAGGTACGCATGAATTGAGCCCGGAGTCATTTCTTCGTCACCGGACTCGCCCTGAGGTTTACCCAGATCGAACTGCGAAACGGAGCTTCGACGGCATGTCTTCGACTCGAGCGCTGCCTTCCTCGTAGGTGTTCTGGGAGAAAATAACAGCAGACTCGCCCTTTCGCTTGCTCAAGTTCCATAATTCAGAAATCCTTCTACGATCTCTGCCCCAAGGAGCTGGATGGTCCGGTCGACCCCCGACCCGGGGGAAAAAGGATCGGTCAGAGTGAGAGAGGTGAGCTGCTACCAGTCATATGAACCAAAGATTACAGGAGCCCGTGAGAATAGAGGGTGATTGGCAACCAACAGACTGGCTTAATCGTTCTGCAGCCTAGCCATTTAGTCCAGCCAGGGTTGATCTCAAGGAGTCAGACGATACGGCGACCAGTCTCACGCAGGAGCTTATCTCTTGCTCGATAGCTCGCGCCATCGGAGCTCAACATGCTTTTGACCTCTTCGAGGAAAGAATTAAATAGTCTGGTGACCGCAGACACTGCCGATCTAGAGGACATCGAGCTCCTAGTCAACTGGACAGATTTGTTGTTGCCCGCTCCGAACCTCGTTGCGCCCGCTCTGAAATTTCGGGATTGCGTGATAGCTGGGCGCTTCATTTCGAAGCACCCTTCAGCCGATGATGGTAGTTGGGTGGCCGCAAACAGTCGCCGTTTCCAGAGCTGATTGGCTTATTCCCTTTTCCCATTGGCAGAAACCCTGACGTATCGGCCCGCGAGCGCAGTCTGTACTATCCGGAAGGACATGAACCTTGCTGTGCTGCTCGTAGTCTCTGCATTATGGATGAATATAGCTGGTGAGTCGAATGAAATTCCCTGTCACCGAGTCCTTGAGGCTTCTTCGAGCTTCCGGGGACATTCCTTTTCACCCATACGCATCCGACTGATCGCGAACGGATATTCTGCCCTGCAGCGAGAACGACCGCAGCTCTGAAATTCGCTCGGATACTGGGGAGCAAATGGGTTGGAAACCGTCTTCTCGTGAGTACCAGCGATCGGGTCCCGGAAAAAATCTCAGGGCGCCGTCAAGAAACATGTCTTTCATCTCGATTTCTAGTAACAAACACCCCTATCATTGGGCGCGTATTAGGTCGAGGTTCCCTGTGCGGACACCAGCTTACAGGACAATGGAATCAGAATCGCGAAGGTACGTCCCCACAGGTGTAAACTCAAAGTCCGCCTCGGCCGCAGGACCTTTCTTCGCAATGGGCTCTGCAAGCCCCTCGTACGGTGCAGGTTAGTGTCGAGGTTTCTTATCCAGTTTGCGGAATCACCCAAAGATGGTCGATTATCTTGATTCTCGCGGCTGAAACATCTCGTTTCAGGCAAATAGGCTTCGGTCCTCCGGTGACGACGGCTGCGACTTCAGCCGCCGAGAGCACTGTTGGCACAACGGCGCTCACAGAACCCACGATTCCCACCGATTCGGAAGTGATCACGGAAGAGATGGAAATCATCGAAGCGGAATGATTATAATAAATATTCCAATGATAATCGGAGTATCATCAGCAGTGGCGGCGCCGGCAGGAAGTTCCAGAAGCTATAGCTCCTCAGGATTCTGGAATCGGGAAGCTTAGCTTTTCCTTCAGGTCATACATTCCATCGGTTTTGGAGTATTCAGACTGCTGCTGCTGCTGTCGACGATGCCGTCTTGAATTTCTCGGGCCAACGAGAAAGCGTGAATCGCGCACAAGCGCTTAGAAAGACCACTAGCATGCACCCGGATTGGAGGAATCCTCGTTTATGATTGGGACTTGGGACTGTTCCAGCTTATAGCTGTCATCAACATCTGAACGCAAACAAATCGACAAATACTTTCTAGTGTACGAATGGCTATAGCCTCATGAAAAAGAAATCTCTGGGCCTCCGAGCGCTTTGACTTCCTGATTCGGATGCGATATTCGGAAAATTCGAGCTTCCCGAAAAAAATGGCTTGCGCCGCTAATGATCATCACCTGAGGCCATCGAGGGAATCTTTTTGGCTGGGAATCTGGGACCCTCGGGACGCTGGGATCGTCGAACGCATCAGCACAATTCACGAACATCATCGAGCGTTCCCCGGCTCTCGATGCCGGTCTTATCGGCTCATCGACGACATTTCGACTCCGTCCGACTCGAATGAGCGGAGCACCCCGATGTGATTCCTACGTTTTTTCCTCTATCGACGAACGCGAGAACCGAAACCCAGAGGAGGGCCGATTTGACTGCATGTGTGTAGATATCGGTATCGGACTCTGCATGGCTGTTTATGGACAGACAGTATAAATTCAGGGCGAAATTCGGGCGAGGCTAATGATGTGCTCGTATAGATTTGTTCTCGCCTCGAGGATCAGAAGTCCTCACGCCTACAGTGGGTGTATCCGTATAAATCGAGGGACCGGCTATCACACACTAAGTCTCAACTCTCAACGAACGCCCACTTTTGGCCACCGCAAGAGTGATTTAGTCGCTCTACTTTCCGCTCATGTGCTTGGGATTGCATTCTCCTACAATGGTGATGCTTCGCCATCTTCGATAGAGATAATTATCGATGAGGCTCATTTGAGGGTACTGATTCGCTTGCAGGACCGAGGCTCAATGACAGCGAGTAGAAATGATTTCGAGTAAGTCCGCCCATCCCAACCCTGAGAAATTATCAACCCGAACTCCGAGTTCATGGTATGGGAGCACCTATTCGACCGTTTACCTCGGAACCATGACGGAGAAAAATCATGCCGGTACCACGCCTCATAATTGTCCCTTACGGACGGCTCACGCTCGACGGATACGATCCCCGATTGAAGAATGGAGTCTATTCAACATTGTAAATCTCGCTCCGGAACGAGCTCTTTTGGAGGGTTCCCGACCATTTCGTACCGCTGTGTGCTCGACTCGAAAGTGAGAAAACGAGAAAGTTCCGAGGAAGCGATTGTTTGAGGGTTCCTTGAGTTGGCAGTTGTTCCTCGGCTCTTTCTTCCTCCTTCCGTTCGTCTCCCTGTTCTGCTGTCTGATCTCAGCAACGCAGTCGGGGCAAGGCGAGCAGACCGGAGTTAGGCTACCCAGCAGCGAGCAGGCAGGCGGCCAGGCAGGGCAAGTACGGCCTCACTGGTAAGAGAGATTATGCCCCCCTGCTGCCATGGCAACAGCCCTGTGAGCGGGGGAGAACCCTTGTTAGTTCGCTGAGGAGAAGAGGGCTCAGGATCTGTCATCTATCGGCAAAGGAGTCGTCGGAGTCTGTGCTCCCCCCTTCCAGAGCAGAAGACGGGTGATTTTTCGTGAAAGCAGTAGCTTGTTCTCCTGTGCCGAAACAAAGATTCTCCGAGGGAATGGCACGAGTTTCTAGAGAATCCACGAGAAAATATCTCCCTAGAGATTTGCCGGGAATGGGGCAGCACACCGCCCCCATGCGCCGTGGTATATGCGAAATGAGTTCCGAACTTTTAGAAGGATCGAAAGCCCTCGGACAGTATTCCCGCTTCTGTGTGGAGAGACCCGTTGTGGCATCGATGGGAATCCTCATCCACTGCTCGATCCTGCAGTCAGCCACAGAATCGTTTGTACAGCGGCAGAATCATGATTGCAGCCGGTTGCGACTGACTGAGTGAGTGCTCACGCTTACGCAAGCGACACGAGTCCACTCATTGTTGGGTAGATAAAAGACAGAAGATTTTGTTAATATATTGAAGAGGAGAGCGGCAGGAGAGGAGCTCTTGACTCTGTCCCCCGCTGCGATGAGAGATGCTCCGCTGCGGCAGTCGTCGGACCAAGTGGTGGGAACAACTGCTGAAAGACACACGAGTTAGCAGGCGGGCGGGCGGATGGTTGGCAGAGGAGGAGAAGTCCCCTGGTGGTTGTCGTAGACGAGTGCCAGAGTTGTCCCAAGGCAGCGGAGCATGTGTGCCGGTCGGTCGCCCAGCCTCCAGATCGTCGAACATCGGAGTCTCCGCGAAAGAATGACATGCACATACACATCCAGAGACATACGGCGTACACTGGAGCTTATCCGACATTGTTAAGGGGCTTGGGGG